GTTCCTCCTTTCACACATTCAAAGGCCAGATCTTTCTTTTAAAATGTTCTTATTGACCAAAGCATTCTGCAGAAGCACAAACACCCAGAATGAATCTCTGAGCATGTACAGAGTGGTTTCTTGAACCCACTCAAGTATTCACCTCCCAGAACTCTCCTAATAAGGCTGCCTCGGCCCCCATCCCTTCAGGAGGGATCTTCTGAAAATAAGCACATCTCTCTCCATGCCAGTCCTCTAATTGGTCCATCCTCCTCTGCTGATGTTGCATCATGGGGTCAAGAGCTTTGCCCACTTTATATGTCTTTGAGAAACTTACCTGCTGCATGCCCCTTCCCACCAACTGTACATTCTGGATATTCCCAGAGGCTGCTTGTCCACCTGGGGAGTCTGGCCTTGAGATAAGTCTGTGTCTCTCATCTCAATGTCTGGAATTGGTCCACTCTCCAAGCCCTTCCCCACTCCTCTTCTTCCTCCTCCACCAGCTCTTCTGAAGACCAGCTGGCAGCCCTCAAGAACATGTACCCAAGGCAGCACTTTTTCTCACTCCCGACAATCAGAGCCCAAGAAATCAGGCACAAACTTTTTTAAAAAAATGATAAAAGTGCTTTATTATGTTGAGCAGAACTGGGAAAATAATTTGCAACCTCATCTCTAGAAACATTCTATAGATATTCAACATGTTGTTATTAAACAGGGACACAGCAATAAGATGAGGGTACCTAATTCTTCAATAAATTTTGTTCATACCAATTTTAAGTCCATCAGCTAACTGACAATTATCTGCTTTGCCTTATGCTAAAAAAAGAAAGGGGGTATCTGGAATTACCTTTAGATTTACCTATTTTAATATTTGCTGTGCCGTGGGTAGAGCAAGAAAGAGTAACACTCATTAACAAGGTGCAAAAGTTTGAGACAACATATCATTTTAGTCTTAAATGCACTGACAGCATGGAAAAGGATAAGGACGTAAGAAACCTAAGAAATTTTATGGATCAAGCCAATGGTCCATCCAGCCCAGCTCCCCACTCACATGGTGGCAAACTGGCTGTCCACAGGATCCCTCAAAGATGGGTACCAAGCTCTTCAGCAACTGGTGCGTGGAGGTGTACATACTGCCTCTGATAACGGTAGCTGCACACAGGCAACAAGGCTGGTAGCCATGGGTCTGCCTTTTGTGCTAATGGTTCCCTGTATATTGATACTACAAAAATGATTTTGTAAACCAGTCTTCCTCTTTATCCAATCAGATTCCACAATTAAACTCTTACTACCAGTGTCAATATCTAGGACCAACAAGTAGGTAAGCTTAGAAATGAGCCAATCTTCATTCCTGAATTGAATAATTAGTACCCAACTTATATGAGGCAGACTTGCCAACAGTTCTTAGAGCAAAATAAATTAAAGGAGGGAGATTTGTAAACCTCCAGATATTTTGGCATACTTAATATTGGCTATTCTGACCTGGCTTGAAAGGAATCAGAAGCCAGTGTCCTGAAGAGACACAATTTTCCTGCCTGTTACAGGCATAATGGCATGAAGAAGGTTGGCATTAGGCACATTCCTAACAGTCATGACAGTCTCTTAGTTTCTTTTTTATATATTGTTTTTATAAATAAACTAAACAAGAAAAAGTAACATGAAAAAGAAAGAAAAAGATACCAAGGGACCTTACACAAAAATTACATAAAAGTCTCTTAGTTCTCTAAACTATCCCTATCACCAATACCAACTCCAACCCACCAAAAGAGCATCTTATGACCCGCCCAGCTATCTCAGGGTTCCAATCTTCCCTTCCATGCTTTGGGAGCTTGTTTTTTCATCTTTGACCATTCTAACTTTTGTGGGGCCCATTATCATCCTCACCCCACAACTGCATACCAGTCTTCACTGGAATCCTTACTACATTCCAAGGTTCCCCCTTCAACCAGTAGTCATTGTGCAGTTGCCTAGTTAAGTAGAGGAATACTGAGAGGCATTTTAAACGTACCCAAGATAGACATTTAATTCATACAAAATGCAAAGTTGATCAAGGTTGGCACTCTTCAGTAGCATAATGGAACGTAAGGGTGACTGTGAAAATGAACAAGCAGAGGTGCCTAAATCCAACAAACTAGGACTACATGTATGTGTTTTGTGCTGAGGCAGCAGAGAGAACATGCTGGGAAAACTGTACCAACAGCCAATCTTTCCTACTTCAACCAAACCACTGTTAGCATCAAGTGGTTCATTCCTCAGGAAGCTTCAGAATCCAAGAAGCTCCACAAATTTAGGACAGGCTGTCATAGCTTGCCTACCACCCTACCTGTAAATCATTTTTCTATAATGTAGGGGACAGAAACCCTGTTCTCACCTGTTTGGGAAAATGTTTTCAAATGGTTTTTCTTTTCCATTTATTTGATGCTAAAGCACAGCTTCACATACAATTGCAACATAGAACTTAAGAGCCATCTTCATGAAGCTTTTGAGGCATATAAAGCTGTCTCACTAGCAGCAGTAAATTTGTTATATAGCTTTCCAAATGCCACATATTTTTCTAAAATATACAATACTATACTTCATGCATAATTTGACCTCCAAATTTTGTTGCCTTAAGTGCATTCACTAGTTAGAAATTGTACATTTGTCCTTTACTCAAAGAGTTAACAAATAGTGTTTTGGCATATTACCATGATTAGGTTATCCAGAAATATTTTTGTTGCATCACATATACCATATTTCATTGGTCAATATGTGTTCTGCATTCACTACTGGCCCTCTTGAAATGTGCAGTAGAGAAAAACCCATTGTATATGAGCTAAATTGAGCTAAACTTCTCTGAAAGTTGACAGACCTAATAAAACTGAGCTGGTTCAGCATGCTTAGAGATGCCTCTGCTCAGACACTTGATAGTAAAGCAGAGTTTGTGTGTGCTGTGGTGCACTGAGTTCCATCTTCATGAAACAGAGGTGAACCATTTTATGAAGGAGAGGTGCCACAGTGTGCCTCAGTCCACTCTATATTACTCAGGGCAGGGGCAGACAGACTTCAGGCTCAGGCTTGTGAGATCTACTTTGCCTTTTTCTAGAACTGCAAGGTACACAATCCAGAACAGGGTAGAAAACAGGTGACGAAGGGGTTAGGAAACAGAATAGGTACACTGTCACAGAATTAAGGAAGAAGAGTTCCTCTGAGCATATGCTACCTAGAACTGAGTTCAGTTCTGTCATACAAACCATTCCTGGTGTTTACCCAATGCTTTTTTCACCTCAGCAGCCCAATTTTGTGGGGAAGCCTTTCTGTTGTTGTTGTTGTCATTGTTGTTAAACAGTTGAGAATCAGAAATGTTTAGTCATCTACTGAAGCCTCCTTTCATGCAAGTGGATCACCCCCAACACTTCTGATCTTCTGAAAGACCAGACAACTATCCATGACTGCAAAAGCACCTCCTGCTGGCTGCTTCCTTAATGAGGAGGCCTCCTCACCCCATCTCTCCCCCAAAGTGGAACTGGAAGGACTGACCCAAATGCCAACATATAATTAGAAAAACTAAGTTGTCACAAATGATGAACACAAACGTAATCAGTTAAAAACTCCCTCTCTCTTGCCTAAGAGCCCAAAGAGCAGGAGAGTAACTTTCCCAGGGTGGATTTCCCAATAAAAGTGGGCCCCAAACTGAGGAATCAGGATCTTCCACAATGTCCTGTACAAATGCAGCATGTACAGAGAACATACTTTGCAACTACAATGGATGCAATACCACATGTGGCATGTGGAGAGATGAAGAGTTCTGCAGGCCATCCTTGACTAGTGAATAGTGGCCTCTGTAGATAAGAGGAAGAGGCTTTCCAAAAATTTTAGGAAACACACTCCATCTTCCTTTATCAACCTCAGACAGTCTCGCAGGAATAGAGGGAAAGGAGAGCAAATATTGAGGGGGAAAACTGTATGACAGAAGATGAAGGAGGCTGGAAACAATCTGCCTCCTAGTCATGAGACAGAGTCAGTCCAGAGAGATGGGGAACTCCCACTCTGATGAAGCTTGGTCAGGTTCTCCTGACCAAGAAAATGTACTTAATGACAATTATAAAAGCTTTCATTAGGACTTGTTGGGAAAAAATGGAAGTTCAAGTGAACATTGAATTTAATTCACGCTTACAATTCAAAATGGCCCTGCCCATCTCAACTGCACAGTACTTCAGGAAGATTAGTCTGGATCTGTTTCTGCTTTAAAACAGATTCCAACACTTCAGACTTCAGTATTTGTGCAGGCTTAGTTTGTAAGTAGCAGAACAAATCATGCAACTTTTTAAAAGTTATGAAACTTAAGAACAGTATCTTAACACAAATTTACAACATTAATATCTTAAATAATGATCTGGAAGGCTGCTTTTAAAAGGTTACTGTCAATAACTGTAACTCCCTGAATTTATAACAGTCATTTCCTCCTCACAGCAGAATCTAACACTATTATACTCTGGTGATAATCCTTCTGAGGAGGAATAAAGGTAGGATATATATTTTGGAGATACTGAGTTGCTTGCAACTGCGCAATATTGTCAAATCACCTTTAGTGTAACAGTAGAATTTTAAATAAATAATTCTAAAGATACCATTTCTTAATAAATAATTCTATAGTGTATCGATAGAACTCTACAGATACCCTTTTTTTTGGTGATTTGATAATATTGCAAAGTTGTAAGCAATTATTCAGTATATCCTAAACATGGAGATTTTGTGCTGGAGTTGCTTATTTTATATACAATGCAAAAACTATATTAGTAATGCAGAACTGAAGAAATAAAATCAGTGAATTTTTTCAAAGGATCCTTCAATCCATTATCTAAATAAAAAAAGCTTTATACACCTGAAAACTTACTTAGCCAGAATCTTGTGAATGTATCAAGCATGGGAACAAGAGCTGTATACTTATATTGTACAGAAAAAATCATTAAGAACTTTTTTTTTTAAAGAAGCAACTATGAACAGCAAGGGGGCCATGAGAGGAGAATCAGAGAAAAAGCTATAGGAACTCTGAGGCTTTATTCACCTGACATCACTCTTGTATTTGAGGATTTTTTTAAATGAAATTTACATAATCCAAGATTCCACAGATTTGCATAAACAAAAGTACATTCATGAAAGCGACAAAATCACAAAAGTCATAATGCCCCAATAATTTTGCAGTCTTCAGTAACTTTGAGAGAAAATACAATTTCAGCTCTGCAATGGAAAAAGTTGTCACACACTGTTTGCTTCATTAAAATATACATTTATTTGAAAATGTATATTTCTGAAGTTGGGCAGACTGATATGATCTTTGTTTTACAATGGATTATCAAATCTGATATTCACAATGCATCAACATAGGAACTGTGGTTCTCTTACCAGAACTGGGGGTATAATTGGGGGGGGGGGGGACCAAACCAACCCTGAATCCATTTGACACCTACAGTTGTGTCAGTCAGTCCAAGGCATGATAACAAACCCTTTTCAAACCTCAAAGATGTCGCTCCACACCAAAATTTCAGATGTGGGGAGTGTCTGTATATTCTCAGTGTCTCATCCATTCAGCATCTTTTTTCTGGGCTTGTGAGAAAGGTGAAGGTGACTCATAGAATCTTGGCATCCACTAGTGTATTCAGCCAAAAGCTGGAAGAAGAGACCTGCTGCTTTTCAGAGCATTTCAGTCATTAACAAATTCTATATTCCTCTGTAGACTTTTCCATCTCTTTCTCGTGCAAGGAAGACCAGTTACATTAATTCATATCATCCAGACCCTATGCCATCTGCCGAAATCAAATTCAATTGTAAGTAATACATATAATTCCCCCTTCAGTTTTACTCAGCAGTTTTGCAAACTTACTAGAAAAAAACTAGCATTTGATAGAAAAATTGTCTATGAAATAGTCTCACTCGGTTTGTCACCATGGATCATAATTCCATATGTGCTGCCATTTCTGTGGAAAAGGAAGAAGGGAGAATGTGAGTATTATATGTAAAAATATGAAGGATGGTAGTTACTTGCTATTTAAATAACATACCCGTCACTGAAAAAGCCTTATACCCTTATGCCAATGATGAAAATAACTGAGGGGCAGACCACCATTCCTCCTGGTACCTCTAAGTAAGCTGTCCCAACATATTCTGTAGGGGACAGGATAGAAAAGCTTTTAATAAATAAGCAAAAAGTCTTGCCTGTTGCATAGTAAAACTTGTATAGACGCTTAGTACAATAGATGCTGTCCGTGGTGAACACCATCCTTTCCATAGCAAAAGCTGTGATATGCTAGAGATAGATTACAGCAAGCATTCAAGGAAAAAACTAACTTCAAGTTCATGTAAGTAAAAAAGGGGGATAAGTGCATGAATATCATCAAGAAGCAAATGCATTTCCTAGAACTTCCTTTTTGCTGACTTCATGTTTACCTGGCTCACAACAGCTTAAGACATCATCTCAATTATGCCTTAAAATAGTTTTATGTGAGATTTTGCTTCTCAGGAAAATCAGCAGGCAACAGCTTAGTTATGATTCCACTAAGTCACAACATACACACCTGACCTCAGTAAACAAATAGCTGCATCTTAATAAAGTGTGTGGAAAAACAGTTACCTTCTCTACTTGGCTGTTTTGTTTCATTTGTTGTAAAAAGTGCTCCTGATTCTTTCTCTTGGTGGAAACGGCTGTAGAGCTGCTTAATTTCTTGATCATAATCTTGCCACTCAGGGACAATCCTCATGGCTGCCTGCAGCTTGGGCTCTTTGGTCATTGGATTATTGCACTGCAATGTAACATTGTGGTCAGTGCTGAGAAATGTGTGCCTTTCATACAAACAGGACAAAAACTTATTGAGCAGTGTCTATATAACTCAGACCCCAAATATGATAGTTCATGAAAACTTTGCTGCAATCATATTTGAATTTCCCTATTACCATCAAAGGATACACACATTCCAGATTAAGCAAACTTTATAAAATCCCATTAATGAAAAAAGTATGTCTGAGTACTCTAAAGACCAGCATCATCAAAAGGTTTAATTATACCTGGCATTTCTTTGCAGTAGTATCAAATTTAAAATCAAGATATGCTAAATAGTTTACCCACAGATTCACTTTTAAAGAAAACATAATTGTTTATACTTGTTAAGAAATCGACATACTTTTTTGTTACATCTGTTTTAGATTCCATATGCAACAACACACAAATCTCATTTAATGTAGTGTTGTGCAAGGCCATATATGGCTTTTATATAATTATTTATTTGCAGTATTTTTACCCTGCTCTCCAGCCAAAAAAAGGTTCTCAGGTGGGCTTCCAAAGATTAATAATGAGACAGTCCCCAAGTTCAGGCTTATGACGTGAAAGACATGACACATTATGGTCCACAACTGTAATGCATTTGGTGCCAGAAGGGAGTAGTTTTAATAGGAAGCAGCCCCTAAATTAATTTTAGAGACTCAAATGGTCCCTTGGAACACAGAAGCTGGTCATCTGTCATCTAAGTAATGAAGCCTTTACGGGGAAGACTATGAAAGCTATAGAAATGGAGAGAACTACTCCTACTGTTTTGGTAAGTTCTAACATATGAACATGTTTATTGCTTGATTGTGGCCTTAGCCCCTTCCCTGTCTATGCAAGCAGCCCTACCAGGTCAATGGTTTTTGCTCTTTTCTTTGAAGCATCATCACACCATGTTTCACACCAAAGCCACTCTTGTGGGAGTGATTTAATGGGCACCTGGTGGATCATGTTGTTCGGCAAGTCCTGTGGGAAAAAAATGTATTGTTACACCTCTTTTAACAAAAGCACAGAGAATTCCTTAGTACCATTTGGCAGGACTTTTGTTACAATCAGGTATAGCCTAAAATTAGTCTGTGCATAAAATGTTTCTGTGGTCCGGAGGTTTAGAAAAACAAATCTAACAGTATGTGGCAAGAAATTATACTGAGATTTATACTTGTTTACACATAACAGACACTATGAAAATCCAAGTAAACAGGATTCTGCTATTTCATAATTAATGCAACCAGATTCTATCACATCATTTCTAAAGCCCATAGACCATAACTTTGTGATATAATGCAATGTTTGTTAAAACGCCATAACAGAAAGTTGACATGAGCTGTCTTTGGTCCCTTTGTGTATGCACAACTGCCGAGAAGATTAGTACAAATAGGGTAAGCAGCACCTAGCCTAATGAAATCATAATGAGCTATGCAGTGCCCTGTGCACTGTACCAAGCCTTGTGAAACACCTTGTAAGATGCCCTGTGTGATACCATATATAAGTGGAATCAAAGTACTGGATTTGACACTTGTACAAGAATGAAAATAGGCTTCCTACAAAATAAAAGCTCTGTCCTAGTGAAATGACACCACTGGATACAAATCATACAGTTTCATTTCACTCACTTGCAACGATAGTGTGTTCCCCCTCTTCTTTAGCCTCCTTATCAACTCTCACTATCTGCTTTTTGTCATCCCTTCCACCTTATTTCTTTGTTCTTCCCAGTATGCCAAAATGCTTGAACTCCATAGATAACGTAAAAATTCATAGTTGCCTACAAGTAGCAAAACTGTCCTAAAAAGCAATACTTTTCTCATAGTATGTTAACATCTTTATGAACAAGGGATTATGATCATCATACTCATGAAAAGATGTCAATATTGCAGTACAAGCCCATCAAGTAAGTACCTGATCAAGGTTGGAGAGACTGTTGGGGTCCTGGCTAAGTCCTTGATATTGCCCTCGGAGCCGATCTCCAGCAGCTATCTTCCTGAATTTCTTCAAATCCACAACATAGAGAGCACTAAGAACACAGCGAGCACCATGAATGCAATGTTAATAGGTAAAATATAAAATATATTTATATTACTATTCTCAGAACAAATAGATCAGAAATTGGTTACTTAGTATTTCTAAAAACAGGAAGCTTCCATCATTTCTATTTGCATGTTTCCCTTAACTGTCCAAAGATAAAACTCAAATAGCTTTTAATAAAATAATATTTATAGCTAAAAGATGTTCACTTTATAAAAGAAAACAGAAGACATAAACTGCACTTAAAAGGAAAAAAGGGAAATCCACTTCATGGAACACAGGAAAAAATATGTGAAACTTACAATTCACACTCAAGCACATGCACACATTTCAACACAATTTCACCAGCTGCACTAGCCGCAAACAGTGATATCATTTTCAGATGCTTACAAAACAAGTCAGCAAAACAAATAATATCCAGAAGAACAAACATCTTGTCACCTGATATGGTATTTTCTTCCAGCCAAGTGACTTGCCCAGTATCCTGATTTCCAGAATCGGTAGCCATCCATCTCTCTCCGGCTTTCACAGAATGGTGTATAACCATAAGGTGCCCCATCCAAGTTGAAATCTCTTAGCTCCTTTAGGTCTGTACGCACAATCTGGAGAAAGGTAATTTACACCCTCCCTTCAATTTCAATTTCACATGTTCAGCCAAAATCATTGCCATGGATAGAACAAAGCAGACCTATTTTGCCAAATTGGACCTGCCCCTAAAAGTTGTGTGGCTGCCTACCCATCCTCTTCCTCAACAAAATCAGCTTGTGCAGGGATGAGGAAAGAGAGAAAAGATGCATCAGAAATACACTGCCCTGATTCTTCTTGCCCTGGAGCTATCTTCAGAAGAGGAGATAAAGAAATAGCATTTGCCTGCTGACTCCTCTCTCCACGGGCATCTCAGAATCAGATAACAGAAATACAGGGTGTCCCAAAAATTTAACATCATTGGCTATGTTATTAGACTACAAATGATGTCAATTTTTTGGGGACACCCTGTATTATACTGAAAGTTGACAAGAACACTTGGTTAATAGGTAACGATCTAAACAATCTAAACAAGCTCATACCAGTTCTTTTTGGGGACTGCACAAAGGGATTCAAGTCAGGCATGCTGTGTTTTGCTTTTCTAAGGAACATTTTAACAAGCGTATTAAAAGCTGTGTTTGGTACTTTTAATACCCTATTCGGTTGCTCATTTTAATCTGTGTTTATGATGATGGAATGGTTGTATTTTTAGCTATAGTTGCCTTGGTTTTATTCTGCACTATTTCTGTTTTTGTTTTAATGTTTGTACTGTAAACCAAAGAAATTCAGTAATTGGGCAATTTAAAAATATGGTGAATTTGCAATTCCATCAAAATGATAATCATTCTTTAAACACAGAGGTTCACAGTTACTCAAGATCACTTACCTGGTCAGCATCTACAAACAGGAATTTATCAACAGCAAGGGGGAAAAGTACATCCAGAAAAAGGATTTTGTAACCCCAGATGATGCGCTGTTTCTCTGTTTGCTGGTGAAGCCACCGTGGCCATTTGTACTGGACTAGCTCATATTGGAAATTGTACTTTTCAGCCATATATGGAATGAATTCCTGGAACAAAGTAACAGTTACTGTCCCTAACAGCTTCTAATATATGAACAACATTCATACCACTGTATTTTAAACCCAAAAGCCTTACAGAATCCAGTTGTGAAAACTCATAAATGCTGGAATATATGCTGAAGGGAAGAGTCTACTAATTTTGGTTGAGCCTGATAGCCTTCAGGCTTGGCTTTCTCTCTTCCTGCTCCAGAGAAGCCAAGTTGCCTCAGGCTTCCTCTGAGAAAGATAAGTGGGTTATAAGCAATATGTGAAGGTAAATAAAACGATGGGCAAGCACATTCCTTTTATATTGAACAGCACAGGGGTTTGACAGCAAAGGAATGGGGAGGAAGAGTGATTTGCTTTCCTCTTCCCTCTCCAAACTTTTTTCCTTATCATGTAGTATGTGCCTGCAGGAAAGGTCTGTCTTGTTTTTATTCTGTGGACAATTCTTAGACAATTTTAGGCATCTGGATAAAGTATTAGTATTAGTAATAATAAATTGCAATGCTACACTTGTTTAAATGCTTCTCATACTGAAGCTTCCCTTGGGGAAAAAGTGGCATGGACCTTATGTTACACACTACTGAGTTAGCTTAGAAGAGTTCAGAATAAACAAAGGCAAGCAAAGAATACTCAGCTCTAACTGATAATTGCCATGGGACTGTTGAACTGAAGAGCAGCATAGTCTGACCCCATCCATTGTCCAGAGACCCAAGGGCCAACCAGGGTGGAATGGAGAAAAAGGACATCATGACAAGGGGAAAACAACCAGTTCTCATAGACTGGCCAGAGGAGGAATGGCTGCAGTTAGTTGCTTAATTCTTCTCTAGCAGAAGCACCATCTACACAACTTTGTAACTAAGAATGAATGCCTAAGTTTGTTTCCCCCCACCTCTCCCAATCTATTTTCTTTTTGCAGTAAAAGACATAGGGCAAACCTAACAGCAGGACTGTCTAATTATCTTTGTAAGCCACTCCAGAAATGCTTTTCTGCTGCAGAATGGATGAAAAAAAATGCTTCAAAGCAATAATAAACACAAACATATGAAACATTCTTCCTCCAGGTAATTAATGTCTGCAATACTCTCCTTAAAAAAATAGCCCAAGCCAATGAATTTATAGTCATTGATAAACCAATAAACAGATGGAGGGGATGAATGGACAAAGTATTTTTAAAATGTTTCAGGCTTAAAGCAAAGTAAAAAATACAGGTTTTTCCCCTGGTAACAAACCTTAAATGAAGGTGACAAATAGTTCTTCAGGAACCAAAACTTCACTGGAGTCTCAGTGTGTTTCAGCACAGATAGCATCATTATGCTGTCAAGTCCAATAAACAAACAAACAAATGTGAAAGCAATTAACTACCTAGAAGTACTAGAACAAACCAGTGCCATAAATAGTGATTCTTTTTTTACACTGTACTTCTACATGCAATCTGCATTTCTTAGACAGCACATACTTTTGCAATCTTTTAACAAGCACTGCCTCTGAAGGACTTTGCTGTCACTGAAAACACTGAGAGGCAGTAACATTACTCTTGCACCAAAACTGAAAAGGTTAGCTGACTGAAGCTGTTTTTGCAGAAAGGGCTACAGAGCAAAAAGCATGACAAGTGCTCTAGGAATTTCCTAGTAGCAATGCAGATTTTCAGTTAACACTTTAGGAAAACTGACCGAAAACAAACAAATGGGTGTTGCCTAGGTTTAAGATAGCAAGGGGCAATAAAACTGTGAGTGACTGGGAGAACATCAGGACAAGGGTTAATAAAACTAGACTAATTTATTTGGGAAAGCTAACTCATGATTAGCTAGAGCAATTTGGATGATTAATCAAAATATGGATGAGCAAAAGATGGATCATGACCTACTAGCACATCTCTGAGCAATTTGTAGTTCATTGCAAGTGTATTTAATTCTCAACTGTCTCACAATAGCAACAACTAAAAATCTTTGTCCCCCTGATTTTGTGTGCTAAAAAAGGTGACATGGGGGAAAGCAGGAATGGATCTGTAAGTGAGTGAGCATGTAAGCTTGGTTTTGGTATGGATAATAAATTCCTGAGTTAAGCAATCTTAACATATGCCTTGCCTGCCTGAGACTACTTTGTATCTGAATCTGGTTGGTGGATCTCAGTATTTTACTAAATAACAACAAACAAACAAAGCAGACCCTTCAAACCTGAAGTCTGCCCACCTCTGATTCTGAATATAACTACTGGATTTAACTGAAATCTCCTAATTTCCATTATTTTGATATTTCTGTAAATGAAGTTCACATAATTGGTGGAAGGAAAAGAGGTAAAAAGAATTTTTGCAATTTTATATTGTTTGGTGAAAATCTAGCTTTCAAAAAATCTATCCCTGTTTGTTGAGAAATTAAAACAAAAGGTTATCTCCAATTCACATGCACTTGAACCTGAAAATATCAGATGATAAATTTTGTGATAATCTGATTCAAAAAGAAAACTGCTGGGGCTCTGGATTGTTTTTATCACCTCCTATAAAAGGACCATCTGTGCATAAGTTGTGTTTTTCTAGCTTTTTTGTAAGATGGGCTGAATCAGATGCTTATTCCTCCATGTATAAACAAATGGCAACAAACAACAACATAAACAGCTATTTGTCAGTCAATAATACAGCTTTAGTACTGAAGCAGCACAGGGAGCCATTATAAATTTAAGTGGCAGTCTCTGTAACAGCTCTCATACAAAGAAATGTAGTTAACTACATACAGTACCCAGAATTGCCATGTACACGCAGCAATTAATTATCCAATGTGAGTAATGCACCACTGATTCTAAACTAACCGGAGAAATCTTTCATATAGATGTCCTGATGCAACAGAAAATATGTTGATCACATCATCCTTATCCTGTTTCACTTCTTCTTTCTTTTGTCCACCTGTAAAACCCCTAGAAAGGAAGAAGGGAGAGGGAAAACAATGCTTATACAACAATCTGCACTATCACAAAAAGCAGCCAGGCTCCTACCACCACATTATTTGCTATACTAAGCCAACACTGACTGGGACTTTACCAGACGCTTTGTCTGGGCTTCATAAGAAAATGATTGCTTAGTATTTTCAACTGACTTTGAGTATATAAATTATTCCTCAGCCAGGAAGATGAGGGCTGTGACATGCAATAGGGAAAAAAAGAGTGTACAACTCCAAGATAGAAGATCTATCCTTTCTTGAATAGAAAACATGGTTTGGAAAGACTAATCCCTCCCTGTCTGCTCACTTGGGTCTCAGTTATACATGCCAGCTTGGCCTCCTCATTCAATGTTAAGTCATGAATGAAGAAGGTCTTATTTTGAACCGATCTGACATTTGAAAGCATCATTCTGAGCCCCAAGGTAAGGTACCTCAGCAGTCACCAAACCTGATAGTAGGGCTAGAATATGGCACAGCTGTTAACTGTTTGGGCCATGTTCTGCTAACCAGGCTACTGCTCCTCAGTGATTTACTGATATGGCCATTTTAACAGCCACCTAACTACTGCATGTTTTCTACAGAAGCTACAATTAAACAATTCAGAAATCTTTCAGATCCACAGAACCAGCCAGGCAGTGAAGAATACTCAAACATGCTTACCATTTAAGAGATTCCCAAAAACCAGATTCATTTTCATTAGTTCCGTCACTCAGTAAATCTTCATTTAGCATATCTAATTTTTTCTGAACCTAAAAAAAAAAGGAATAGTGCATTGGTTTAACTTTCTTATTAAAAGCTGAACACAGTTATAAAATATGGCAGTTTGATATTTACGTTTGCAGTAAGAATTACGCCACACTTTCAAATACATTGAAATTAAAATATTGTGGGGTGGGGGAGTTTTAATCAAGAAAAGTCAGGCTACCATCTTTCCTACTGAAACAAGACTGCAATACAAAAAATAAGCAACTCCAGAACAGATACAAACCATGAATTAGAAATTGTAAAAAGGGGGTATTAGACTGCTACAGATAAAACAAGCAGACATATAATGACTGTATAGCACCTTTCATCCACAATATAACCTGATTGATTTCCCATACTGAAAGAGAGTAGATATATAGATGAATGCATTTGCTCTTCAAAATACATATGCAAACACACTAAACCCAGAAATACATGCCTGGAACTATATTCAACACAAAAGATTCAATATGTTCTATATGCAAGGCATTTTAATATATATAATACATACACCTTTTGCATCCTTCCCATTCTCTCCAGTGCAAACTCTATGTGGAAGATTTCTTTCTGCTGAACCTTCAATTCACTGCCCTTTTGTACACATGCATATTGGTATGCATAAGGGCTCAGTCAAAACTTCACTCCTTTAACTGGCTTGTAAGAATAAATCATGATAAAAAATGTACATTGCCCAGCAGTCATCCCATTAACTTGCTCATAACAATAAAGGGTTACATTTAAGACTCGTTTTTTGTCCATATGGCCCCGTATCAATCTGATATACAAGGAGACAATAAGGCTTCAAAGAACCCAAAGTAAGGTATATCTGGTTGAAAATACTACTTTACAATGTCTTTTTCAAACTCACCTTTACTTTAATAATTTTGCTCTTGAAATTGTTGATAACAACAACAACATCACTGGCATCTGCAGGAGAATCTGTACCATCATGGCTAAAAGTAAATAATTAAAAACAGCTCAATAGGAGGAGTGCTAATTTTTGCCACTTCTTTCCTGTGTTTCATCATAAGCCACCCTTTCTTTCAAACAATCAATTTCCTAAAATATTCCTTCGGAATGAATAGTAGAAACAGATATCCAATTTATTAGGTTAGGAAATTTAAAAGAAGCCAAGCATACTGATAAGGCTCTTGGGTAATGCTAACCAGAACAGCTGGTGAGCCAGTGCCATACTGACAGGACATATGGGTCTGACTGAGCTTTGACCAGAACAATTTTTAAAAGCAGCAAGTTTTATCACTCCACCTGTAAATTCTATAGATATCATCAGACCTTCCCTTTCTGAGTCTCAGAAACCAGGAACCAGGATTCGCTTTTAACTGGAAGTACCCCTGTGAAGAAAACAAAGACAAACATTATTGAGACTTAGGGAGAGCAACTTGCTTAATATTAAGGATCACATTAAGATGACAGAATGAGCTAAACTGCTGCTGAGAATTAGCATGTCATAACAGCCACTCAAACATTAAATATTAAGGCCAATGCTGTTGAGAAAATAATGGATGCCCAAGTTACATCAACAAAGATGTTTCATGAACTCTACATTTGAGTTAGACCTTAGAAATTCAACAGGTTAAATACCAGAAACTTTAGGCTTGCCCCCTTGTTTCTGACTCTGTTTGTAACAATACATATATTTCCTTGCAACCAGGAAGACAGGGAACAATTTTTACTAAATATACAAAGGGTGTTTGTTGGGTTCCATTAAGATCGCAATAATAGTTCTATGAGTTAATCCATGAACAATCCTCCTCAGGGAGAGGAGCTTGTTGCATCTATATATCTTCTTAGGTTTACAGAACACACATGAAACGTTGTTTTTAAAAAGAATCTACAACCAGTGCAAAATACTGCAGCAAGAGTTGTGAACAGGGCAGATTCTTGGAACGCACATTTCCATTACTGTATCAGTTTCATGTGTGTACTGACAGTAAGAGGTTTAGTTAAAATATGTTGGTGCATTTGGCCTCACTCCTTTTCCATTAGGTCACCATTTCCACTGGAATGTGGCCCGACAGCTTCTCCAAAATGGCCTTTAGGCTGAAAGAGATTCTACATCTCTGATGAAAAGGACTTTCATCACAAACAGATTTTACTGCAGTATCTCTAGATTCCAGCAAATTCCTTGACTGCTCATGTAAAAATATCAGTTGCTTGGCTAGCCGACTATTATTTTCAGATCTTTTCAAGATATGTTCTGCTGCACATCAGTGAGCTTACCAAGTTGGCCATGACAATAGTGTCAACAAGAATAGGGTTTGTTGATGTTCCCAGGGTGAACTGAAGACCCCGGGGGGGGCTGTCCTGTAGTAATATCATAGCAGTGCCCTTCTAAGAGGAGATGCTCTAATTCATACTCAGCTGCCACTACACTCTCCACCTGTGAAAAGACATCCAGGATTTCAGTATTCAAATCAGAACAAGTTATAAAGCATAATCAGCCACTGAGAAATGTAACATAAAAACAGAAAGAATTATGAGGAATAAGACAGACCCATTTGTTTTGCAACCTTACATAGTTAATCATGGTAGAGAATAAGTAGCAGACCAGTCCTTGCCTTGGAAACTTAGAATCATGTCCTCACCATACTTCATAGTTGAGAATTTAGGCATAAAGTCTTTGCCAGAATGTGCAAAGACAGCAAGTGAAAGCTCTTTCAGTTCATGACTCTATGGGTATCCTTCAGTGAAAATGATTTAATCTGGTTATATATTCATAGATTAACTCCAGAATGAGATTTTTAAAAACTCTTAATAGAATCTCAGTCCAAAATGGCTACCATCTTTCTTTGCAATGCAAAAACTGTAATAGCAATAGCATAATCTTGTTATAAAACAGGTTTTGTGAATTTGGAAAATGTTCATCTCTCTTTAGGAAAAGAGGAAAGAAGTCCTTCAACTTTTTATTTAGTTAATAACCATTTGTAATTATATCTAGCATTTTGGTTGCTGATACTATGACCACATTTACAGGAAAACTGCAACTTAATACCATAATATTAAAAACCTGTTTTATTGATGTTTTTATACCACAATAATTCACCAGTAACAAGAGCTGCTTTCTTGCTCTCATATACAATTGAATTCACTGTATCTGATAACAGATACAGTGGTATGCCACCAAAGCAGGTGTTGGATGTCACCTGTAAAACCTTCTCAGTATTCAATATTCTTTCAATATTCTTGGTAGGAACTAAGTTGGGAATTTCTTTTAGGTTAGCATTTCTGCTATCAGGGTGTTCTGTGACATCTGCCTCTGCGATAGTGTTCTAGAATTAAAATGAGACGTTTTAAGCCTGTATCTCTTACCCATGCTACATTTTTGCAAAAGAAGTAGTCAGAACCTTATTAGAGCCTTATCTAGCAGACCACTTCCCCTTATATATACCCATCCAGTCTTTAAGATCAGAGGAAGCCTTGGTGGTCATTCCAGAATTAATGGACTGTCACCACGTAATAGCTGGGCAGAAGGCCTTCTCAGCAGCAGCACCCACCTTTTGGAAAGTTCTCCCTCAAGCAGTTCAGAAGGTAGTAAATGTGGCCTCTTTCAAATATATTCTGAAAACAAATTTGTTCCTATAGACTTTAAATTATTTGTAATTAAATTAATCATGCTCTTCTAGTTTAATGCCTCTGCATTGCTGTGGTAGTTGTAATTATTTTTTAAATTGTAGTTTAATCACATTTAAAATGTGATTTTAATCATTAATTATGATTATAATATTTATAAGTAAACCACATGGGTATTTTATTATACTTGGAGATACATAAATGGTACAAATAAACTAAAACTGAAGTGTAGTAGTAAATTCCAACTATTTCATTTGAATTTATAATCACTATGATATGCTTGCCCAAAATTCAGCAGCATTGTCAAGTTGCTCACCAAACCAAGGACAATATTCCACAAGCTTAGCTAAGTTTTGCCCTCTGAATCCCATCTGGAAAGTTGTAATTCCAGTCAGTAGCTTTATTATGCATAAGTTAGAGACAAGCAGGTGCTTTCTCAGGTTACAAACAATTTCTCCATGCAGTCAATAAAAACAAAAGTTCTGTACATGCATTGCATAATACAGGATCACTAAGCTCACCTTAATTTAAATTAAACCATCATGAAAGAAAGTTGATAGGAAACCAAGTCTGATTGCTACAAATGTCCAGGTTCAAGCATAGAGAACTCTTATCCAGGCAGGTCTTTCCATGGGGTGGCTTCTCCAGCTGCCACTCTCTTACAGTGTAGATTTATACTGCATTGCTCCTCCCTTTTTAATGATGTCAAAACCTTTCAATCTCCAGTTCCTACCTTTCCTCTTCTTGGGACCCTGTGTTGTGTAGGTGTGCCAGGGTCCTGCTCAGCCTTTCTCTGAGAGATTAAGCTGCAGCTAGATGGCCAATTTTTCTCAGTGCTATTCTCCCCTATCTCCAGCTCCCACACACTTGATGCCTTGACAGCAACTTCCCCATTCTCATCTGATTCAGAATTGATTTCCATGTATTTTTCAGATGTATCTACAGATGTGCAGAACTCAATTCCTACACTGGATTATCTTCACAAAGTACTTTTAAACATACCATCATCTCTCATTTTCTTTGAGTGTAACAGGTATATCTCCACCTATCTATCCATTCCAACAGTGAGATGGATCAAGAAACTCTTAAGGATAGTAACTAGAAGGGCTTTGCAGTAAAAATATGTTGGTCCTGAAGGTATGGTTCTCAAGTTCAGACTCCCAAGTGATTCTGGGCAAATCTAGGCTTCAAATGACCCCACATGATTAATTTGAGAATGAAAATATATGTAACCTCCTTAAAGCAATTCTATACAATCTGATCACAAACAGTTTCTTCTCTAGAGCAATAGGGCAGGAATATTATGTTCAAATTCACCAAACATTCAGTAAGTGTCCCTGGAGATTTGAGGGAAAAACATCATGTGGGACAATTTTTCACTATTATTAAAATTATGGATAATAACATCTCTTTAAATTAACATATGAAAAGCAAAATGGTTTCATTATAAGTTAAACATTCATAAATATAGTTGAGGAAGCTTCTGCAATTGAGCACATTCAGCTTCAGTTATCCATGTTTCTTACTACAAGAAAAAAGGCAAAGAGTCTTTCTTGAAACAAAAATCAAAGAGAAGGAACATGCAATCAAAACTATAGTTGATTAAAAGATTTTTGCATCAAATCCTGAAAAAAATATCCTCTCCAAATTTGGAGTCTCTCTCTCTCTCTCTCTCTCTCTCTCTCTCTCTCTCTCTCTCTCTCTCACACACACACACACACACACACACACACACACTCATTTGAACTTACCTCCTCTAAATAAATGTTGTCAAGATCATATGATGTCCTTACAGACTCTACCATCCAGCTCTCAGGAGTGTTTAGATTCAGAGTAAACAAGGGAGACTGAGGCATATCCAAGAATTTGGCAACAGGGCCAGGAACAAACAGATTGTCCACTGTGAAAGTGATTTCTGGCTCCAAAACATAGCGATAAAAACTGAAATTTAAAAATGGCAAATATCAAAATATTCTAGTATTAAACCCAACAGCTACCATAGTAATTTTTCTCCATACTATACCTTTTAGGTTTTCAATCTTGACAAACACCCGCATCCTACTAAACTGGGAGAAATTATATTTGGATACCCAAAGACAACCAGCCATCTGGCTTCTAAAGTTTGAAGAACTGCTATATATCTCCCCTTTCCTGCAAAAACTCAGCCCAAGGTTTTAAGACTGAAACAAAGAAGGAAATATACTGATCAATGGGCTCTACTGAAAGGGCCCATTTTAAACAGAATCAATGGCATTTTAACTTAAATTTCCAGGCTTTCGAGCCATACAAATTCCTTCCCTCAAGGAAGATTGTCTGGAAGTGTGCGTGTATGTGTTAGTTATGCTATGATAGACAACTGAGCAGAAAATATTATTTTAATCACAGTTCAACTGCATTTTAAATCTCAGGAATCATTTGCCAGACTAATGTTCTAGAATCAAAGCCATGAAAATTTAAACCACAGTTGGGTTAACAGAAGGCACATTGTTCTAAAATTTCTCATTGCTTTTAGCAAAGGAGCCTAGCAATGTGGAAGAATGTTTATTTTAATAGGTGCAACACAATGGCTGGGACTGAAAGGACTGCAAGTTCTACCATGATGCAGGGACACTTCTCACCCTCTCCCATCTAACGCAGCATTCTGAGTCTCCTGAAAAATTGCCCTGAAGGGAAAATGACCCATCTTCTCCATTTGCACAGGCCTCACTCTCAGCCTATTTATTTTTGTGATTTCTGCAAATCTGCTTCTAAACTGTTTACAATGTTTAGGGTAACAGCAGACTGAGCACAAGAGAAAGCTTATACAAATACATTATTTCTTCTATTACAGAAATCCCACAACTCTTTTAGAAGAGACAAACAAAGCCTTCCAGAAGCCCAAGCAAAGCTGGAGCACCTTCTTTCTGAGAGAAGCATCTAAAAACATGCTCATACCACTAAAAAGTACCACTTTTCTATTATTTTGTTGAGGCTTGTTATTCCTTACCTTTTCAAAGGCATGTCAGAGAGTTTGGACTGACAGTTCATAAAAATTCTGAGGTTCATGTTTATTAGTTTGTTCAATACCTTTAAAAAATGAAAGACACATACAGAATTAAATTCACAACTGAGTGCAATTTCTTATTCTTCCCATTCCTCCAAATGCATCATTCTCTACAGGTTCATTGAGGCTGAAATGCAAATGCTCCTATCACAAGCTATAGAGTAGTAGCACTAAGGTTATTTAGGCACAAGCTAGGAAAAGGGGAAAGGTGCCTCGGCTTTCTAAGGAAAACACAAACCCAAATACGCAAATACACTGAGGGGAAAACCTTGTTTCATGAGGAACTGAGACCCTCATAAAATAGGCAGATTCTATTTCAAGCAAGCATCTGAAGGAGCAGACCCAGAGCTGGAAACCCATGCTGTGAACCTCCCCCCACTGCTGTAGCCAGTGCAGAAAGAACTGTGCCAGCTGCTCTCTGAGGTAAGTAACTCAGCCTCTGAGAGGGAGCAAATGGGACAGGCAGGAGAAGAGACTGCAAAGGCCAGTGTATGAAATGTGTCCTTTGCAGCCTTCCTTCTCCTCCAAAGCATGCCAGCTAGAAGGGTAGGGCAGAAGAAGCAGGAAAACAAAGATGGCCTCGGCTGCTTCTCCCTCTCTATACAGGATGCTTATAACCCTTTGAGTTGGGAGGCTTACAGGAATCTTAAGTGGACTGGATCCGTGGGCATCTTGGCTTTTCCCATGTTAAAACACAATCACTTCCAAATATGAAACAGCTTCCCATGTTAAGCTTTATGAGACACCATGCTTTCAAGTATTATTGTAGCAAATTGATACATCAAGCCAAAGTGGCATTTGGTTTCACCTTTGAAAGCATTCTGGTCAAAAAAATGATAAAGTGTTCTGAAGAATCAGTATGAACTCTTCTGACACACATTTCTATATGATTTATTCTATAACACTGTAGACTTCATACATAGCCAGAAATAATTACCCTGCCTCTTGCGACAGAGGGAGCAGGGAAGAACAACAGCCATTACTACAGAAAACACGGCAGCTCAGCTATCCCTCAGTGACTGATACTACAAACCAATAATACATTCACACCATGAGCAGTGGAGCAAGTCTTTGTGCTTCTCTGGTAGCAGGATCAACAACAGCCACAACATCAAAATAGGTCTCCCCCTCATTTGGTCTCAACTTAACTGCACTATAGAAGAAAAAGTTAATTAGATATATGCATGCTAGAATGGTTTCCCCTTTAGTACATCACAGAAAAATACACCAGTAATTCCTGCTATTAAGGAGTGCTTAATATATCCATCAATCCTCCTTTATAGAGCTATTATAGTGTCAACATATAGAAAAAAAAATATTCATTCCCTATCTTGTCTTACATTCCAAGTAATTTCTTAGCATTCTTTAATGCTAATAAGTAATAAAGGCCCAAGTTAATATCAACATCTTTTAAATGTTCTTTGTAATAGTTTATACAGACAGTTCATACACATGAAGCTCAATAAGTTTTTTTTTTTACCTGTGCTTGTCTTCAAAAAAATGGTACTCAATTCTTGCCTCTCCCTTTGGCTGAGCAGAAAGAAGAGCATCCACCTTCATCACAAGATCACTTGCACTAAAGAGAGAAACCTCATCTGTTCAATATTTCTTTTCAAGTGGTTTCCTCAAACAATATTTTCATGTAGAAACTAAAAATATACTAGGTGCCTTTACTAAAAGATATAATGGTCCATGGCTATTGAATACCAAATAGAACCACCTTTCTACTTCAACACAAGAGTCATCAATTTCTCTGAGCTTAACCCACCCCCAGTTATAGCCCACCCTCCACAGGTAAAGGTTTGCTGACACTCAGGAGTGTATTAAGTGGGTTACAAGCAACTGCAGGGAGAGGGAAAAGGCAGATCACCCTATTCTGCCAGAGGAAGTCTGTCCACAGTTCACAGGATCCAATCCATTATGAAGAGTACGTAAATAGAACCTAGAACTTCCTTGGTGGGAATGAGATACTCAGACCTGGTTTGCATGTAATCGCAGCCTATGCATTAAGCAACCCATGTACTGCTACGAACAGGATTCATTTTCTTCAATGTGTCCACTGCTTCCACTTTAATCTTCCAACACACATTCTGTTCCTTCATAGGTTGCAGAGCATGATGTGCAAACTTGGAATGCTGGATTCTTTATGGACTAAACAACCCATAGTGTAGTGTTGGGTTAACCACTGGGTTCTTTAGTCCATAAAGTTTAGTTCATAAAGTTGCTAGATTGCTTGAACCTGAAACAACCCAATGCTCCAAGTCTGCCCTTCATACTCAGAAACCTATGAACAGGATGATCATAGGCTGTTGATTAAAAACAAAAACAGATGTTGCATGCCCACTTGTCCTTGACAGCCCATGGGCTAATTAGCCCAGGGGCTATCATTGTGTGTGAACCCAAAGGAAAGAAAGAAAAGCTGCACAAGCCAAATGAACAAAGGAATCCTACTTCTTAACTCTCTGCAATGTGCTCATTTTGTTCACTTACAGATCTTCCTCAACTCCTAACTGCTGAATGTGAGATTTTATTTTCTGTCCAGAAGTCTTCAAAATAATATTCTCTAGTAAGTGGAAGTCATCCTGGTTAAAAAGCTCACCATCTTCTAATGGACCAATAATCTAAAGAGAAAATGGAATAATAGACTCAGGGCAGTAAGAGATACATCTGTTGTGAATTAAACTAAGAATCTGAACTAGATACGGCCTGTAACAAACACAGTAACCCAGAATGCATGGAGCTTTCTCATGTCCATAACTGTGCTAGCAACAAAGATTACTACAGCCTGCTATGTGAAATTACCCAAATCATCTTCTCAGCTCCTGCTTAATGTTGTACTGTTATGTGAGGTGATAACATGAAACAGTGCCATTTGGTGGTGGCACACCACTTTACAGAGCTTGCTTTCCTGCTAGATGTCTGTCTGGCTTCCTTCAAGCTTAACATACAGTACACTGTGGAAATGCATAATACATAATGGAAATATACAACATACAATGAAAACACCAAGAGGGTGTTTGGGCTCAGTAATAATTCAACACAAACTTGTTTTTATTGCCTGAAGAATCATTCTGCTCACTAATTCTATAATTGCTACCATAGCTTGGTCTTTTAGATTAGCAAAGGTCCCAGAGTAGTTTACAATGGGAAACAAGCAAACAAATGTTCACAGAAACTGATGTGATACAAAACATTTCACCAGCAACCAGTTAAGAAAAACTGGATTCAAAGGCAAGTAAAACAAATGGCCTCCAGCCTTTATAAACTGTATAGCACCTATTAAATTGTCACAGCTAGAAATACCTCCTGACATAACTCTTGATATTTGCATAATGCAATACACTATAACATACAGTCACCAAAGTGTTCCTTGGATGCATTAGCTATCCAATACTGAAGTTGAATCTAATTGCTGTGGGAAAGCATTTCATCCTCAGAAAATGAATGCAATTGCAAACACCATCTTGAATATTTACCAGGAAAACGAAGGGTACTTGCTATTTATCCAAATAAAGAGGTGTACTTATTAAAGCCCGCAAACCTGAGATAGATCATTCTCAGCTGGATAGCAAACTACACAGGGCAATCTACAGATACAGCTTTGCAAATTGCCCTAACAAAATCTCTAATCATAAGTTTAAGTCTCAAACCCACTAACCATTTTGAAGCCCTTCTGGAACATCTTTTTATTTATATTTGTACAGTAGTTTAATTGAATTAGAACAGCCTTCTTAATGACCACACTGGTTTGGGAATGATGACAGTGATGTAATCATACACATTTGGAGAAGACCAAATAAGATTGATTCCAGCCATTACCCATAAAACATATCTGTAATACCTGAATGATTTTTAGGACCAACTACCCTTCCACTGCATTTATAATTAAGGGAGTGGATTTATTAGTAGGTTAAATTATGAGCTTCCCTGAGTACAAGAAATGGGGCTGGGGGTGGAGCATATAACTAAATATTGCTGGAAATGAAAGAATTCCTCTGTCACATTTTAAATACAGTTGGCTTACCCTTCCATTGCTGATCACTGCCCTCTGGCCTTTCTTCAATTTAAGAACATCCCTTGAGTATATGGTATGTGAAAGAATAAAATCCACTTTGGGAGATTCAAAAGCAGCTTTAAAAGTATCAATATCCATACCCTGGAAAGGGGAAACATATTCTTATAGTAAAAGTCAATTAAGAGACAGGACATTGTATCTCTGAATAATACTCATACCATTACCTCAGAAGAAAGCTAGAGCTTATTTAATTTATTTAAAACTTTTATATCTCACCCCTCACAATGTCTCAGGGTGGGATATAAGAATATCAGAATTAAACAGGTGAAATTCACTATCATTCCCCCTTTTCTAGTCTACCTCGTGGGAGAAGCCAGCTTGCACACTTACTCCAACAGCAAATTGGGTGATATCAGCTCCAGCCTCCAGCATTTTTGCATTCTCCTCTTTTGCTAATTTTGTGATAAAGTTTTTGGCATTGTTTGATGTTTGTGTCTGCAAGGCTGCCCATATGGCTCTGGCAATGACTGTGTTCTCATTGGCTGGGTCTTCACTTGGGTTGTTAATCACACCAATCCGAACATAGTTACTGGATTTCTGTATAGCAATAACATGTGTGTTAAAACAGTGTTGTTTCAAGATAGCTGTGAAGAAATCCAGCAAAGAAAGAATCCTGTAATAAGCACAAATTCAGCATTAACACCCACACATTTCCCTCCCAATTATAGTCAGCATGTCTCATAAACATGTCTAATCAGAGATAAGTCTGCTGTTTAGGTTGGCTATTGAAAAGCCTCAGCCATAAGAGTCTTTCATCTTATTTTTTTAAAGTAGTATGACATGAGATGTTAATCCAATTGCTCTCATCTTTAAGGTTAAAAATAGATCCTCAATCAAAATGCATCCTTAAATTGACCAACAAGAACAGCTTCTGGCTGACAGTAGATTCTTGCTAATGGCAAATGTCTCTTAAAAGCCTGAACATTAATAAAGCTGCTTGTTCTCTGGCAAACTGACAAAACAAGCATTTATCATGTCATTCTGAAATGGTTTTCTTTAAGTATAACTTGTCATCCCTTAGACACATTATAAATTACACTGCTTGTACAAACAATTTGGGCTTCTCCTTAGTCAACTGCCTTACTGCCGATTCTTCTTCAACAGACTGTGAGGGCTTCTTTTAAAAAAAATATACAAAAATTAAGATTCCAATATGAATATTCAGGACAAATGGATAGACTATGGCTGTGCTTCCATAAAATAATTAGTCAGAGACTCTTGGCTTATCATTCACAAGCAATTCTGACCTGTTCCTGCTTAGGTCTTCCTGCTGGGCCAAATGGCTTCAGTGACTGGGAATATACCAGCAAGAAACAAGCTAGTGTTACATTCAAACCGACTCCTGGTGTGTCACTCCGAACAAGTTGGGAATTGTAAGCCAGTTTCTGACTATGCCTTATGAGAGCAACAGACCTGGAGTCCCTGCTCAAATGCAAGGCTAAGCTGTTTTTCCCAAGTAGGTTCTTCATTCCTGAAGCTGCTCTGGCAGGTGCAATGAGCCAAAGGGGAATGATATAGTATATCAGCATGCTTGCTAATGCACATAAGCCACGATTCTCCACATCTTGATGTACCATTCTGTGGAAACACTGCCTTTAAGTTGCCTACTTCTGAGATAAATATACAATTCAGCAGGTTAACAAAAATAATTCCTATACATTTACAAAACAAACACAAAACGGTAGGATAATGCCTTTACTAAGATAACTACTTAGTTTATTTATTAATCATTAGATTCATTTAAAAGCTGCCTGTAAGGCGCATGCTCTCAAGTTATGAAATAGTAAGCACTTTGTCAAGTTCAACAGAACTCTTTTACGGACTTAGTTCTGAGGAAAGGGAAAAAGGAAAAAAGAAAGGTTCTGGGCAAGAGGAAAACTCTGAACCTATCGTCTGTAATAGGATGGAAGGAAGGAGGTTTAAAGCTCAGTGCAGGTCTGTTCGTGTCCACTCAAAAATTCCACTAGCAGGAATTCAGCAGGACTTATTCTCAGGCAAGCGCAGAAGCCCACCTAGGAATATCTGTATTCCGCAAGGCCCAGGTAAAACTCAGATTGCAGCAAAGCATGCTAGCATGAGTGAGCCATGGCTACTTTCCCTTTAAAAGCACAAAATCCCTCGATTATTCATATCTAAAAGTTTCAAAACACAAACAAGTGATAGAACTCAACTTGCTATGCATACTGACATTAATGATTCCCTTCTTTAATCATACATACCTGATGTTTAATAGCATCATATAACAGCTGCCTTCCAGAAGGTTTACCAAAGTCTCCAACAATCCAAAAAGTTACTGGTCTAATAAAAGAATCATCTGTGCAAGGAAGAATAATGAATTCAAGGGGGAAATTAAACATCTTGACCTTATTACAATCTGCATTTCTTCATGCTGAGCACATGCTGTGTTTAGAACAATAGCTTAAGACACACATTCCAATGATACTAGCATTCATCAAGCCTAATGGTATTTATGTTAAATTAGGTTTGTTTTTCAAACTACAGAGAATAAAACACATGCATAATTGTTTCTATTTTATTATTTAACTACTTATTTAAGCATTGTTTAGGTAGAAAATAAACACATAGAACCTGGAAGCAACTTTGTGATTATAAGATAAATGCACTTCTGATGTATATATCACAGATTCAATTTTTTAACAAGAAATAATTGAAAATCAACAATGCGCTGATTGTTTATTCCTTACAGGTTCTAAAAGCCAATAATATAGAGTCTGAATTTTCCTTAAAATATTCAAGTTTATTAATATAATGCAGAAAAAAGGGAGCACTGAAGCTCATTACCATAAATTTCCTTGGAGGACATTCCTGATAGAAGTAAAACAGGAAAGAGTGGGAAAATGTGGAATTAGTTTATAAAATACACTCAGAAGTATCCAAAATTCATAGTAGGATATACAGTATCCTTCTAAACAATGCCTAATGTTAGGGACACCCAAGGATAAATTCATTTGCAGCAACAGAAGCTAGTGAGATCAGCATTTCTCACATTTTTGTGAAATCATACACCCATCTGAAACTGAGTGGATCTTCCATGTCTTGTCTCCTCTACTTAGAAACTTCACTGCCAGGCTTCTATAACCCATAAATATCTCAACATAGCCCTAGGGTGCCCTACTTGATAGTGGGCATCCCTCTATTTGAAGGACTGTTCAATCCAAGTCTGGCTTAAAGATAAAGAACCCTATGAAGGGAGATCAGCCAGGGCCTTCAATTTGTCCTTTGCCAGCTATGCCTGGACAGCAGACTGAGCTGGAACACACAGCCCATGCTCAGTCCTCCCCTAGAGAGACATGTTATATTTCTATTTGAACTATGGTAATTCATTCTAAATATTCACGTCTCACTATAAATACCATCTGTAAATCAATATCCTCTCCTTTGGTAATGCATTTCTTCTTTGGCAATAAATTAAGTGGCCAGGCTACATAGCTCCTCCACCTGTGCCATTTGGTTTCTAATCTGGTGTAAGAGGGTCTACAGCAGTTTTAAGATCTCTCTGCTCCACTTTGGCATTCTACACTATGGAAACCTTTGAATCTTCACAGATATGATGCTAAACTGTTTACATTTACTCTGCTGATACAGCAAACCCTATTATTTCTTTAAAATTTTATACCACTTTTGAATAATATTTGCAAAACATTTAACCAAAACTACTACTACATTCTAAAGTCACATGATAACTATCCAAATACACCAAATTCTAAAGCAAAAATACAGTATAGCATTTCTCCAGTTAAACACCAGCTTTCACACCAGAAATTGATTAAGTTAGAGCAAAGCAAATGTTCTGGGGAATACAGGGGTTGTGTTAGATTTCTAAAGGCTGAAAGGAAAATAGACAGTTTGGTCTTTCCTGCACAATCAGCACAATCTTGAAGGTAGCCCTGAATTGTGGTACTTCCTGGCCCACCTCAGAAGTTGGTCATTGCTGGAAGATCTCAGTGAACAAAATGGTTTTTCTTTTGGTCAAGGATGGACAAATCCGGGCAGTCGGGTGATCATTTCCAACCCTAGATATATTATTAGCTGCAGTTCCCCTACCACTGCCCCAAGCCATAAAAAGGTTTCTCCTATTTATTATAATTTAAACACTGTTGTGGGCAAGGAAGGTGCATTCAACATGTAGCTCACTTCTCATTTTAGTAGACAGGGCCCAAAAATTTGCAAAACCAATTTTCTGAAATGTGATCACAGATGAAATGCTAACAAGTGCTGCTCTTTAAGGACAGAATTCCACAGCCAGCTCCTGTCAGTAGCTGGGATGTTAACATAATATATCAGCTATAATTTAGTTTTAGAGGAGCCTCATGTAGACATAATTTACAGTAGGAAAAAGGTGTCCATTACAAATAATTTTTGTCAGAACATTGAACAAGCCTAGAAACAGGCACTTTTGCCCATAGACAAAACCTGAGACTTATTGGGGTTTAGCAGTCCCTTCAAACTGCAGACCTGCTCTTTTAGGTAGACACTCATCTGCTTTCTATTCAGCAAAATCTCTTACTGATAACAGCCAGCTTTTATCTAGATTGAGCGTCAGTTTACTGAACCTCATATTGTCCATCACTGTTTCAGAACACCTAAAGATGCCACTTTCTTACTGAGCTTCAAAAAAAACTGAGTGATATAACCTAGTGTTATTATCATATTGATGATAATGAACTCCAACTTCTGTATGTGAATCTTTAACCCTGCCTGCCTTCCAAAGGAATGCTAATATAATGGCCAACCCAGCCTCTTTTAGCTAGATGAAACCTGCCAAATAATGCAACACTGTAGACCACAGGTCACTGGCCAGACTACTCCAAGATCCTCAGACCTTAATGAGTGGAACAGATCCATGAAATGGTAAGAACATAAACTGAGGACACCTGTTTGAGAAACATATCCTGTTTGAGAAACAACTATTTAGAAACTTGGCTCTTAAATATAAACAAATTATTCAGCTTACTCCAAGAATTTAATTTTTTCCCCCAAGTGCTGGTTTTAAAAACCTGGATGTACAAGATGGATTGTGCCAAACACACATCTTCTACAGAATATCTCAGAATCTTTCCAAAAATGTTTTGTTCAAAGTAACATATGGAACAGAATTTTAAAAATCACAAAACTGACCTCTCAAATACACCAACCTGTACATTTATCGTTAGTGTTTTGGTCACACATTAGAAGTCTGAGAGGATAAAAAATATCTGTATTTGCTACATATAATTAATTAAGAAAGCGATTTGTCAGTCTACAGGAGAAGGACATTCAGTACATTCTATAGTTCTGGTACATTGTATCAGCACTGTAAGAACTTGTCTCTTCCTGAAGAACAGCTGAAACTAAAGAAAACTCTCCAACGTTAAATCACATTATCCTGTGCTCCTCTCATTCTTTACTTGCAAATTTTAGCAAGAGGGTTAACAATCAGTATTTACTATAAAGCCAGGTATTGAAATTAGCTCTAAATCCTGGTCAACAGCACTCTCCAGTTAGGTGACAGGTATACTTAAGGTTGTGCTGAGCCATGGCAAAACAGAAAGGGAGCCCTGAGTGCAGGACAGCAGGCTGAAGAGAGTACTTTACCCTTATTAGCCACAGTTCAAGGACCGAGACTCATTATCAAGGCTGTGCATAGTCTGTACAGGTTTAACAAGTGAGAATAAAATACCTCATCTGACAAGTTCATATGAAAATGCAAACCAACAGAAAAGCCCACAATGCTTATACAAACCTAATTCAATAACTCACACAAATGCGCAGAACTGCAATAGAACCAATTTCCATCCACTTTTTCACCCAAGCTTATCCACTGCTGTGGCATGTAATGAAATATTCTTAAAGGCTTTTATTGTTAAGCAATAAATAAGGAATCTGAAGGTGGTGGTGACAAAGTGAAGAATGAATGGTTTGAGAGGGAGCTGTTTCATGTCACAGCAACAGCTGCAATACTATTTTATTCTCCGTAACAATTACCAACCGCCACTACATACACTTGGGTCATTTTCAAAAGCAATTGGCACTTCAATTTATATATGAAAATATATTGCCTACATGTCCATATACTTAAGTAACTTGAGTGAATGCCATGCGAAGTAAGAATTAAAGTAGGGCATCTCAATGCTAACATTTCCCCATGAGCAAAATAACTACTCAGATATAGTCGGATCTATGCAATACACACAGCACAATTTTGTCAGTATAAAACTGGTATAAGCAGAAAGAGGGCTTGTCAAGTACAATCATCCCTGCTATGCTAGTTTTCTTCTCATGGGCAGTTTTTAAACGATCACACAGGGGACCATTTGAAATGTCTAAAAGAGTACTGTATCTTACTACCTTCAGACTATGGGTACCAGTCAAATTAGATGACAGGAAATCTGATTCTGCCTACAAATTATACAGTTTAAGCAAATGCAGTGCAAATACTTATTTTACATTATGAATCACTCTCTGATTCCATTCAGTCTCCATTCAACTTACCTCTATTCAACTTTTTCAAATGTTAAAATAATAAAAACCTAATGATATATTAAATCTATAGGGCTGGATCCTAAGTTTGCTCTTACCAGCAGAAAACTGCCCACCTCAAGTTCTGCTAAGGCAGATTTAGCTGATGGGAACAAAGAATCATTGGAAGTTTTATACTGAGTCAGATCACTAGTTCACCCACCCCAGTACTGTTGACACTGAGGGGCAGTAACTCTCCAGGGTTTTAGGTTGCAGTTCACATTAAGGCTGCTCAATGTGGAGATGCCAAGGACTGAACTTTTGTGCATGAAAAGCATGTGATCAATCACTAAGCTACTGCCCCACCCACAAATGGAAGAAAGCACCTTTTGTTCAATTCCTTCTCCTTTGACTACCAGTGACACCTCCCTTGCCAATATGGAGAGTCACCAAAGCCCAAAGCAGATTTTTGGGAGGGCATAAGGGGCTGCAGGGAAAAGGGAAAAAGACAATCACCTTCCCAACCACATTCTGCCAGTGGAAATGCTCCAGTGAATCAAAAGCTACCCACAAATGAAGGTGCGCTTCCATCTTTGAAAGGTTTGGGACCAAGCCACAATGTATTTTTATGCTCAGGTCATAACCTATTTCCATGGAATTTGAACAGACAGAGCTGGCTATATGTCAAGGGCTAACCAGAGGTAAACATTAAACTAACGTAAGTTAGTAGAGGTATCAACGTTAAACTAACGTAAAGAAGGAACAGTACTGCAACATCACTGAAAATTGTTCTAAAATGCCAGCACTGTCTGACATAAAGAACTCTGAATAAAAAGCAGTATAGTAGCCCTTGCTTCAGATGCAGTATGCAAAGTGACCTAAATTCATACCTTTCTTGGTCAAGTAAGTCATACTGTTGGCTATAGCAGCTGTCTTGCCTTTGGAATTCAAGGATGTAAATCTAGCATAATCATCCACATAGAAATTATCTGCAAGAAAAAACAAGACAGAAATAACTACCCCTTCAGACCCAGCTTTTGTTTACATATTTACCACATCTACAATCTCTGCTATTCCATTTTTTTCCTAATGCTGAAGATATTTCACAATATATTTAGAGCTTTATAACTTCAGCAAGCAACTTGATAAGCAGTAAAAGCTAAGAAGGGAGCTTCACACCCTTGACATAGCCACAGAAAAGGCTCTCACTTGCAGAGCCCATACAGAGATGGAATGCACATGTATGTGCACAAGTATGTGCCTTCCACCTTTGCCCTCTTTTCTGGGTCTTCCCCAAGGTATGTTTTTTTCCAATCTGTCAAAATCCTTTTCCAGTTTCAGTATCATTTCAAGAAAATGTTTCAAGAAAGTTGCACATTACAATTTGCCAAGAGAGTGTGAGCATGATGTGTGAACCCAGAGTGATGGGTTCACCCCCTAAACAACCCACTGGTCTTGCTCCACAACTCAGATCAGGCTGAACAGAGATTGCCTTCCACAAATGTAAGTGGCTTGTAGGCAATGAATGTCCCTATGCATTGGGGGTTAAATAAACCACAATCCGCTACTGTGATGTGACAACTGCTTCACCAAGTTGGCATTGGGTACATTCTCAGAAACAAGAGACCAGACAAACATAACAGAAAGAAAACTGGAAGGAAGAAAAATAAGAGTAAGATTGAGATATAGAAATAGAAGCAGCAAAGCGATGTTCTCCCTCTCCCCTTTCATTTCTGCCCTCTTCGTCTCTTATCTCCCCACCTTCTTACAGTCTTTCTCTCTGTGCATGCAGAAAGAGGCAATCTCTTCTACACACAGAAAAGAAAGCACAAGAAGGTACAAAGAAGAGAGAATGGAAGAAACAAAGCATTTCAGAGAGAGAAGGAAGCGAGAACGAGAGAGAGAGCAAATGAAAACAATTGAATATTTCATTGGTTATGCCCACTTTGATAACACCCATTGTGAATTTGGCGACACCTACAGATAATTACACAGAAATGAAAGTGGTCTTTGGGATGAAAAATGTTTTGCACTTGTCTAAACTAACCACAGCTTTTATCCTGGTTCAGATGAAAGGTTAAACTGAAAATAGTTTCACAGAATTGAATGAATCTAATGCCTTCCTCATAGGCAAGGAGCTATAAGAAAGTGAAGCGGGGAGAGGAGTTTGTGCACATAACACTAAATCATGGTTTAGCATTACTTTTGATTCAGTTCTGAATTAACCACTAGCAAGTTTCTATATTGATTCTACAAAGTGTGCCTTACTGGTTGCAGTTAAATCTAGATATTCTCTCTCAGACATCAAGATCCGAGAGTTGATTCTTGGAACAACATTTGGCTGGCTCATTATATATTCAACCACGTCTTGATCATTTGACAGTTCACCCTGAAAGATAAAAATACAGATTTAAATACTCAAATCCTCTTGTTTTTGAATTCACTTGAAAAACAGAAAAATCTTGGGAAGTCGCTTAAGAAAAACCTCACTGACTCATTTTGCACAACACATTGGGACTCACTGTGGATTATTAAACCTATGATAGTAACATGCTGAATAACACTTAGAATGCAGAACGTCTGATGGCACTGCTTTGTAAACTCAGCCATGAGAGGTTACAAATTCTTGCATAACACAACAACAAATGGAAGATTATGTGAAGGTTGTTCAATTTCGCATAACCCCTGATGGCTGGGTTCACACAACATACTGCAACCTCACTTGGGGTTGCATATTCAAAGTACTACCTAATGCAAAATCAAGTTCATTGTGCATTAAGAGATCAGGGTGAGCCTGGCATATTGTGAAGACTGACCTACTTTTTGTAAAGATGCTGAAGTGCTATTTTACATTCAGCCTTTTAGATTCTTAGGACAGCAGATCTCTGGCTACATCATTAACTACCTTTGATTGAACCTGTCTACCCATCTTCATTTTAGTAATGGTCTGGTTTATGAAAACAGTGTACTACTGTTTGAGGAATGGAACTCTAAAGCCCCCTTGGAAATACAGAGCTAGATGCACAGTTATTTAGATCGGAGCTCTTATTCTTAAGCTCAGAAGCATTTCTTGAAATCCCGATTTACCAGCAACACAGCTTACCAAATACACAGCTCTTTGGAAAAAACTGGTGGTTTCCAATATTTTATGCATTGTTACAGTTTCCAGTTCATCAGGATCTAGTTGTTCTTTTTGATAGGGCATCCCATTAAAAAGCACTATAGGTAGAGGGCCCACACCTGTCTGTTCATAGTAACCACGCCCTTCCTGAAATAGAGAAGATACAGATAAAAATAGTTCCTCCCCATCCCTACTAATTTCATTGCAACATGTGCCACTGAAGTCTTTTTATACATGAATGATGTTAGATTCAAGTATTTCTGCCTTTTATTTTTCCAATATGCTTCCTATTGCATTATTGTCAGCAAAACATCCATAAATTAAGGTTTGCCTTGTGGAGGTCACCTCACCAACTCCCAGAGATGGGACCTGGAACCACATTTCTCAGTGCTCTTGGCTACTAGAAAGCTCATGATGCTACTTACTGCCTGCTTGCACTATTCACCACCATACTTTTTCACCAATGTATACACTAAGTCTCCCTACACAAAGACCAATGCAAATGTGTTGTAGTCATTGCCATGAAAGTGGTGTACAAAACCACACATTCTCCCGTGGTACTGAGACCTTTCCCCTGGGAAGTCTGTAGCGTACAGGTTCACTGTGCAGTTCTTCAACCCACTGGGCTTCATAGTGAATTAGCTGGTTGCAGTGATTGGAATTACCAGTGTTTGTTCCTGACAGAAGCATTTTGCTAGCTATGTTTGGATGTAAAAGGATTCAAATCCCCAATTGAAAACCTGGAGAGCTTGTGACTGCACTCCTAGCCATGAGGCCATTGAGAGGCCTCAGGCAAAGGAACCACTGTGGCTTTTCCTGGAAGTATGCTTGTGAGGGGACAAGACAGTATAGATTGAATAAGACAGCATCAACAAAGACATTCCCCATACTGTGTGCTGACTGGTGACTTCTATGTACTGTTAAGATGGCGGGGGAGCAGCCAAGGTTGTCAGGGAGATGGCAGGAATGTGTTAGTGTCACCATGCTGACTCTGGTTTGTTCAGCTAGCCTTGTACTTTCTACTTTGCTGGCTTAAGTGCCTAGGACTACAATTATAAACACTGGAATAACAGCCACTGGCATATAGGAACAGAGGGTAGGGTTGTTCATAGGAGCGTAGGGTTGTTCACAGACAGTGTTACAGGACCATCTTCTCACAGGCACTCAAACTTTTCAAAGAAATCTTATTGAAGAGGCATTTCAAAAGTTATAGGGCAGGACAATCTGTAAGCTATGCACAAATTTCTCACCTTTCTGTTTTGGTCATAGACAGAATCAACTCCTAAAATGCTATTGACTTCTACGTAGGGATATTGCTTCTCAAGAACACTAACCACATGTTCTACCTTTAGTTTTTCTCCTGTATTTAGCTTGTTATATATCTGTGAAGACAACATGAAACATACACCATTACAAACATGACCTCCAGGCTTCACGCTTTAGAAAACCATTATCAACTGCTTTGCCCTTTGACATTGCTGCCCCATATGCCTGGAAAGCTGTTCCAGAAAAAAAACCTGGTGCCATTTCTCTCTTCCTTCAAACTGCAGTTCAAAACCCACCTTTCCTTTGAAAACATTGAAAAATCCCTTTCAGCCCCTAATTAAATTTTGACAGGATCTTGGGGAGCCCTCAAATAGGACCCTCCCTTTCAAACCTGGGACAGCCAAGAACTCACAACCATACCTAACCACATACAATTAAAACAAGTTCATGGAGCAGTATGAACACTCCTGCTAACATTATACTGAACCACTGTAAGCAACTGCTAGTATAGTGCCAGTAGAATTTGCTGATGCAACAGCTTTTCTGGAGAAATGTCATACCAGCAAGTAGTACTGTCTCTGTCTTCAGAGGTTCCTATGCTAGGGCAACAGAGTTTATATCAGTGTTGGTGCCAGATAAAATACTACCCATTAGGCAAATCACATCCACCCAAAAGTTGACATATACAGCTGTAGTGCTTTCGGAAAAGGCTACTTACTGATATAATTGTCTGGAAGGCATAATTAGTATCTACTTCTTGTGTGATGTAGTTGTAAGCCCGAAGGAGAGCAACCCCAGCATCTTGCAACCCATCAACATCTTCAGAGTCATTAACCACAAAGACTAAGCCAATCCTATTTTTTCAAAAGATAACAGTAATTACATTAAACTCCTAACCAAGCACCCAAAGCTCAGCTGCTGACAGTGAAAATATGTGGGCTCATTTACATTGTCCTGCTTGGGGCTAAAGTAGAGACATAACACTGTCCCTTCCTTAACTACAGTCAAAAGGATTAGAAGCAGGATGTGTCACTCTGATTTCTCCTGGCTCAACATACTGTTTGCCCATATTCTCCTACCAACCCCTCTACCACAGTGAACCATTAAGTCTACACAGATATCCAACTATAGTGGATGGTAAACATGGGCACTCCTAATAAGAATTTGGAATCAACATCAAACAGAAGCACAGCCTGGCTACTATTAGCCTTGGCTCATTCCATCTCTGATTTCCCAGATCCCGCTTGATACCACAGCCTCCCTAAAGTTCCCACCTGTCAGACTCAGACTCACTGTTACTTATTTCCCCTGGCATGGCTGGAAAAGGTGTGGAGGGCAGGGGAAGAAGAGCGCATCATGCTTAACATTGGTCTAGCACATTTACACCTTCAGCATCAGGAAGGTGAATGGCTGTGAATGTCACTTAGCTTCAAACATGAAGTTAACATTTTAAAGTTTCTATACCCACTCCTAAATAACCCAATATAAATATCAACGCTTACCTCAGTGGTATGTGGTTACTAAGGAACATTTCAGCCACACTGAACAATTCTGTTGAGCTCTCATGGGATGGGTCTATTATAAGTACCTAAAAGCAGTAATAAAATGAAGAATTTGAACACCTTTTCATCACTGCAGAATGGCTAGAGCAGGCTTCCCCAGCTTGGTGCCCTTCAAATGAGTTGGACTCCTATTCCATTAACCACTCAGCCAGCACAGCTAAGATATGCTGCCCAACCCATCTAGAGGGTAACTGGTTAGGGAAGGCTGGACTAGATCAACACTTAAGAGTTATACAATTATATCTAACTGCAGCACACCAAATTTAAACCAGATTTGCCCATAGTTTAATAGATCTGACAGCTGAAGCTCGTGACAAACATCTGGGTTCTTCAAGTACATTTAGCTATTTTCAGCTGAAACTCATGGGGCTGTCATGAAGAGCAGACATACATTTTAGCAATAATGATATGTGAAGGTAATACTCCTGATAAGAATGATGCACTACAGTCCTAGTTACCTATAAAAAGTCTTGGTTTAGACTTTAAAATCACTAAATGACTCAAAGCCACACACATTTCAATAGTTGCCATTTCCTCTTCTTCTTAGAGATTGCCTCACTCATACTTTCCTCCTGGAAATTTGTCAAAGCCCAACCTTCTTTCAGAGGCATTGCAAGCCCTTTTAATTTAGATTCACTTTCAATTGTCAGAGCACAAGGTTTCAGTGACTGCAGTCTGACATCAGGAGCAACAGCTCCCACAATCCCTGACCAGTGAAGCCTTCTCCCAGGCTTGGGAGTGCTCTGTCTCCATGGACAGTGCAGAACACTTCTACTTTTAAGCTTACTGTGGTTTGGCTTGTCATCTGGTTCTGATGCAACAAGAAATAAATTGGGTGTAAAAAAAATTTAAAACTGCTCAGCTCTAGAAAGTTCAGGCTGCAGTCAGAACCAAATTAGCAATTGCTTACCAGATTATGGAAGTTTTTTCTTATTTGTCTAATCACACCAGGGAAAGTAGGACGCAGCAGCTCCTGGACACTAGAAGGCCAGGAATTATATCTGCCATCAACTTCAAGGTTATTAATCCACTAAAAACAACAAAAAAACCATCATTAGGTAAAATTCTGCAACTTAAAATACTAAATTCTACTTTCAAATAAATTAGAGTTACAACATTTGCAAACATTATTTCAGGTATCTATTGTAGCAAAAGAAAAGGACATAATACAGCTGGACTCCCATATCCACAGAGATAGGTTCCAAGCCCCCAAGGGATGCCTGAACTCATGGATAGTAGTAAACACTACATTTGCAGGGGTTGGGCACAGGACCTCACAAAAGTGAAAAAAACTAGTGAAAAACTGAATTATCTCTACAGACTTTACACTCACTGAGAGGCAAAACACGAGTGAAGTGGGCTAGTACTGAGACATGGAGTGTGGCATCCCCAAGCAAAGTGTGTAGTTCCCTAGAGGTATAACATAGTTTTTTGACTTCCATAGATCCTAACCCCCATGAATATGGAGGGCTGATGGTCAACCTCAGTAACTGAAACAGTAGATATGGTAGTTCTGTTGTACTACACAAAAAACCCTGAAAAAAGCAAATCTAAAATACAGCATTAGTTTTCCACTGCTTCTTGTTTTAATATAATGCAAACATTATGGGATTTGTTTGTTTTTGTGGGGGGGGGGGGGGGGCAGGGGGGGAGGCTGTCAATAGTTGAGTTGGACTTCATTGCAGAGACCAAATATAAAATCAAGGAATGAAGCTCAGCCTGATCTTATCACCACAGCTCTACCCTGCTTGCCTAACCATAAGGTTTAATCTCTTTGTTACAGCTCTTAAATGCTGTGAACTCAGAAGCTACTTTCTAGGATTTGGAACAGGATGTCTACTTTTGCCTCTGCCTCCTACCCTTCCTTTGTACTAGGTGCCTGGACATCAAGTGTCTGGACTTAAGAATAACTTTGTTCATTTAGAGGAAATTTTACCCAGATTTGCTTGACATTAAATTTCACCTACATCTCAGCTAAGACACAAAGAACATGAACAGAAAGATTCCCTTTCATAAAGCCTTCTAGTTGTGTTATCCTGTGCTGCAATTTTGCAGATCCTCGGCTGAAGCATAAATTCTTCAGGACAAGCCTTGAAGCATATACTAGTTCCACTTATCTACACTGTTCTGATACTTTGAACACATTGCAGAATCAGGGCCCAGTAACAGATAAAATTAAAAAGTGACTTCTTTGCTGTTTGATGGTAATCTCTCCATGCAGCTTAGAATTCTTGGAACCCATACTCACTGAAATGGCAGTACTTCTGATATCTACAGCATAGTCAGTGTCTGATGGCTGGATGTTTAGCTTTAACACATTGTGCATAGAAAGGCCTACAATTCCTAAACTGTGCAGCCCTTCCATAACGCGAGCTTCATTCCTCAGGACATCAAACAAGCTAGAAAGAGCACAGATCAGAAGAAACTTTAAAACAGAACTGTCAGGTATATCTCACCTTTTATCATTGCTAAACTGAATTCTATACAAGAAATACCAATAAAGAGAATTCGTACCTAAAAATGTCCTGTGTGTCTAGATCTATATGTAGTCCATTGATGAACAGGGCAGAATCCCCCACCTGTAATCCTAAGGTTCCTTTGAAGTACTGGAAAAAAGTGCAGCAAAACCATTGACAGAAGAATAAAAACTAAAATGGGTCATTTTTATGCAAGACTTCAAGAGCCCTTAATTTCCTATTGGATATTTCACTGACATACATTGAAATGTTAAATGAAACCCCCAGTGGAGCATTCATCTATATTCAAAGCTACAAGTCTGCAGCATTTGATCCGGAGGAATAATCCTTTCCTGTTTTTCTACTGCTGAACAATAATGTCTACAAGAATATACCTGCTATCCACATCAATATATGCAATAAAGTGAATTAGCTTACTCTAGAAACATAATTCTGGGATAATAAATTAAGAAAGTAAACCTAGGCTCGCTGACTGCCCATTCCGTGGTGACCCAGAACAATCCAAAGTTATGATTCCATCACCACCACTGTTCCACTTTCACATGGAAGGAAAATGAACAAACTAATTCAATTCTGTAATCTTCAAATCATCCACATATCTACTTCACTTATAAATAAAGTTAACATAATGCTTTATCAAATTGTAAAATCACTTCCTCATAGAAAAAACAAGATGGTCATGTTTGAGATTTTGGGCTAACAATATTGTCTGCCAAGTTGGAGAGCAACTGATGGAAAAGGGTTGCTATGCCCATGAAGTCTAGGCATTCTAGGGATAACATAAAAGCCATTGCAGGTGGCACATCTGTATTTCCAGCCAGATGTAATCTCAAAGGGTACACCAAACTGTCAGAGATCAGTAAGAATTAGGACTGTACCTGCCTCATTTAATATCTATGGCCTCCCAACACATTCTGGGGGGGGCACTATAGGATTATTTGGAGCCCCTGTCCTGCCCCCTTGCAGCCAGCAGAGAAAGAACCAGGCCTGCTAACATTGCAGGGTAGGAAATAAGACTCAGAGAAGAAGAAAAGGGGTATGTTGAGGGCCAGGGACATGATAAACTTGATTTGGCAGGTATGTAAGAAATCCAACGCCAGAGATCTGCACCTTCAGCAGACATAATCTGGGCAAATTTTGCCAACCTATATAAAATGAAATACCGCTGAAACAGACCAAAACCATGATCTATTAAAGGATGTCCCAATGACTTTTCCCAATTAGATTTAAAACTTTTCATTCATCTATGGACAAGAATAATTAATATAATTTTAAAAGTATTCTTTTTAATGACTTTTTCAGGTATACCAAAAGTTCAGACTAGGTAAAACATGTTTCCAATTTTGAATCCTGCGTGGATTTAAGACAAGCAGAATGACTGCAGGATATCTATTTGTGCCATACTTCAATGTGCAACATAGTTCCTGCCTTACCAAATTATTAAGCTTGTGTTTGTTTTATTCCCAGAACACACCACAAGAGCTACTTAACTGGCAGTCTCCATATGCCCTGGGATTTATTAAAAAACAAAGGCAAACACACAAGACCAAATTTTCGTTGGATGACTGCTCATTATTGATCCCTGGGAAATATCTAGCCTAAACCAGTTATGAGCCACTCTCCTGAAACTTCCTGAGCATACAGAGCTAACAACTCTTACAACTTTGTTGTAAGCCGCCCCGAGGCTTCGGCGAATGGGGCGGCATAAAAATGTTTTAATAAAATAAATAAATAAATAAATAAATAAACTCTACAAAGAACTTTAGTTTTTCTTGAAGATCCATCAACAGACTTTCCCCCTGATATTGTCCTAGACTGTAGCTACTATACTACAAGCAGAAACTTGTTTCTATAGCCATGGGACATTCTGTGCAAGACAAGAAGGGAAAAGGACAACATTCTGCTACAAGCCATTATCTTTTATTAGTCCTCACCACCTTCATAGCCCTGATAGGCCCAAAGTTCTGAGATCTAAATATAATGAGCATGTTTCAAATCAAACCTTAAGATCAGCCATCTCAGGAAAGACCATGTACTAAAACTATAACTTGCTGAAAGTCTCAGTCCTGTTCAAACAAAAAACCATTTTTAAAAGTATATTCTATATGCAAGTCTGCAGGTGCTTTTGCATTTCCTAGGGATTTCAAAGACTTTCAACAGATTCCTCTCCAGTATCACAATAAGATTAATTCTAGACACAGTAAAGTCAGGAGAGAAGTTGCTTATCTGGAAAAGTATAATATGCATAAATACTAGAAAAACCCAAGAGATAAACAGATAGCATTTGGCACACCTTATATAGATATCTTTAAAACATTCTGCTTTTTTTCAATCTGAACAGGCCTTAAGATTGGAAACACATTTTAGAAAGTTTTTTTAATAAACACTTATTATATGTTTTACTACTACAAATAGTATTTCATATTTAACTGAAAGTATATAAAGCATTAATTGAGCCATATAGGAAGCTACTTTATAAGAGCAGCAGAAGCATTGTGGTATAGTGGCTTCAGCCAGATTAGCAGACCTAGGTTCAAATCCCCATTCAGCCATGAAGCTCAAACCCACATATATGTATACAGAAATACTATTACTTTTTGGTTCTCTTCAATTTCTGATCTGAGTTCTGAAGAAACAACTGTCTTCGTTATTGCCCTGCAGAAATCAAAAGATGCAATTCCATCATCACCACTGGCCCATCCTTCTTTTATCATCCATTTTATTTTTGCAATACACCTGCCCCACACCTCCTCAAATTCCGTACATCTCAGATTCAACTGATACAAATAGTAAGCAAATAGATGTTTTAGAATTTAATGTTATTCATAAAATTAAAATGATGTCATAAAGAGAAATGACATCTACAGGATACAGTCAAATGGGGATGGATGTATGCCTCCAAGCCAGCATTACAGACATCCTAGGAGGATTATGGGTGAAGGCCAGTCCACACTCCTCCTGCTCTACAAAATAACTCAACAACCCATTTCAGTTCCTGAGGTGCCCAAAGGTATTTCATACACTGTGACCACCAAGCTCCCTTCCCTACCCCCTTAACTCTGCTTTGAGCTTGCTCTTATGACCTCTGAAGATGCAGCCAGTTTCTTTCCTCACTGGCTGCAGGAAGGGAGGAAAAATCTAACACAGATCTCCAGATCTGAGTCAGAGCTCTTTTCTGACCTCAGGCATGGAAGTCCAAAAATCCTATGGTCCTCTAGACACTAAGGGCCACAGGATCACTGTATTAAGCTCTCCAGTATAAACTGAACTAGAATTTAAATAGCACAAAAAGGCACAGTGATCAAGTGATCATGCCAAAATGATCAAGTGATACCACTTTTTCAAGACAGAAGGGCATAGTTTAAAAAAGTAGTAATTACCCTTAAAAAAACAAATCTAAAAATCCTCAAACACTTTTCTACAAAAGTAAATGGCTAGTTCAATACCATTTGTTAAATTTATGTAAGAGTTATAGTGACAGCAGCAGCAGCAGCAATTACCTAGCTTTTGTGGGAAAATTCTGACTTAGATCTTTCATGACCATTAAAGCATCCACAGTGGGGGCCGCCAGAATGCGAGCAGCAGTTTGGAAACTTAGATCTAAAAATGAGAACAGTGTGTTAAATCACAGGCCAGCCCTTCAAAGCGAAAACATGGAAGTCATGGAGGCATTTAGGGATGAATGTATAATGCAACTCATACACAGTTTAACAGCTTCCAGGAAATGTTATGTTTCACATTTGCCTGACACAAGCAAGTACTTTTATATACAAATAAAACAAATATAGGTGCATTACCTTGTAACTGCCATACTTTTAAGGGGGCCATTTCATTGGTGCTTTCAATAAGATGTTTTCTTAATTCTTTCAATTCTTCTTTCAAAGTGGGATGTAACTGCCTGAGAGAAAAAATGAATTCGGAGAACCTTATCATTTTTAGGCAAAACTAATAATTTCTCTAAGGCAGTGGTTTCCAACCTTTCCACAGCTAGAAACCAGCAAAAACAGGATAACAAAAAGATTTTTTGTTTCTGCTTTTTGTTTGAGGCAGAAACAAAGAGCACCATACATATAATACAGTATTCTGTACATTAGCTTCCAAACACAATACCACAAAAATGAAAATTCTCCAGAACCAGAAACCAAGCAACAAAAAATGGCAACAAAAGAACAAAATACTGAAATCGGCACAGCATGGCTCTTAGCTGGCTCCCACTGAGCCATCTCCCTCCTCCCTGCTGCCCCCACAGCACGAGCACCCCACCCCCATAATGCAATGCCAACTGAGGAAGAGGTGGTAGAGCGCAGCCAGCCCCTGCGACAGTCCGTGGTGAGTGGGATGAAGCCCCCCCGAGGACCGGCAGGAAATCTCCATTGCTCTAAGAGATGTGGATGTGGCTTCTTTTTTAACATCTCATAGGTGTTATTATGAAAATACTGCCAAGGTTCTTTATGGGCTTGTTTGCCAATCAGTTTCTGAACTGTTTTAGGTGGAAAGGCTTGTAAAGATGATGACTTTGTACCTTAGTTTTCCAAACAAAAATCCTTGCACTTCATCAATGGGGTCATTTTCACCTATTACTGTTGCATTCACATCTGTACCTGTAGAAAGAGGAAAGCCCCCCTGATTATGATACTGATCAAGATACCATCACTAATAATGAGATCAGTTTTGTGAGGCTTCAGCATACAAAGGGCTGTATGTAATGGCATTGCTCAGCCAGCGGAAAGGAAATGCTGGTAGAATGGTTTCCCCTTCTCTGCCCCACCCCCCAAATCTGCTTCAGCTGTTTAGGGAACTATCCAAAGCAAAATTGGAATGCGGGGGTGGGGATGTAGGGAAATCCTGTTGCATGATGGTTGGATGCAACTTACTATTACTACCACACTAAACTGTTGGAATAATGGCCTTGCTGTGCTTAATGTAAACTGCCATTGCAAGAAAATCAAAGCTTTCCAGACTAATTGGTGCATTTGAGCAGGAAAAAAGCTAGAAAAGCACTTTAAAAAGGAACAAATTATAGCATTTTATCTTCTGCTAAAAGTAATAATTTGTTAAAGGTAAATGTTTAAAGTTAAAAATAATTTTTGTAGCCCTGTTTTGGCATTTCTTCATTTTTGTATTATTCTGGGAAGGTTTCAAAAACTGAAGGTAGCCCAGACCTCTCGCATTCCCTATGTGCCTGCCCACCCTCTAAGATCTGGGTCAGAGGTCCTTCTTTGGAAGCCCTCTTTGCTGTGCCTTTGTTGTTGGACCATCCTGAGACTTTATGTATAGGAAGGGTACAAAAGTTAAAAGGGCGGGGGGCTAGTCAAGACCACATCCTAAAATAAACAAGAAACTTCCTAAGTCCCACATCCTTCATGATGGTCCCAGAACTCTCCCCATTGGCTGTACAGGGAGCTGATGTCAAGCACTTTCCCTGGTGGTTAGAAGCCACTCATTGCACAAAAGGGATGGAATGGTGTTGCTGCTCCTCATTCTTCCTCAGAAGAAATTAGAAAGGCTTGGCTAAGCATGGCACACTTTTGCTTAGGAGGCAAAGTAGATCACTCTATAGAGACAGCAAATTTTCTGTTATCTCTTCAAGATTTTTCAATGCTACAAATAAGAACATTTCCCTTCATTCCCCGTTCCTTTTAAGGATTTCCATATATTGGGGCGATTTGTTGCTTTTCATGTGCTAAAATGTCATTATTGGAAAAGGGGGCAATTAAGCATGTGTGTCCAATATTAGTCCTTGGGCAGCCTTAAGAGAAATGCAAAGCAAAAAAAACACAAATCAAGACTCTTAAGAATGGGGCCTTTGAAGCCATGAAGCTGGTCACAATCACCCTTCCCTTAATATGGCAGAACTGTAACAGGCTGTCCGGGAAATCAAGCCTGACATACTCGCTGAATGCTTAGGACATTGTTTCAATGGTTTGGCATTTACTGCTGTTATTTAGTTTGTTGCAAACCGTCTTTTATTACAGAAAGGTGGCATTGTAAATACATGTGATTGAGATTAAGCAGCATGTTGCTATCCTGAAAGAGTAATTTAATCCTAAATAGGCCAACAGAGATTGAGCAGGAAGAAAAGTTTTGGAGCATATGCCATCTACTCTTAAATGTAAGAATTCACCTTTCACCTGGGTATCATCCTTGGCCTTATATTCAGTGCTTTTAATTGCCAGCTCCACGCCATAGCCCGAAAGGTAGACTTTTTCTTTACTTGGATTCTACAAGAAAAGGTAAAATCAAAGTAACATTGTCCTGAGAAAACATTTGCTAAATTTATTTTTCCCAATTTTGCCATAAGATGAGTTGCTTGCAGTTGGACAAACCTTCTTTAAACCTCTCCAGGAAATACGTACGATTTTCCTGCCCACTTCCTCTTTGAGTAAGAATGTTGTGCAACTGCCACCGACAAGAGAATGAAGAGTGGCTTCTGTACAACAAAGCATAATTACTCTTCTTTTCTTCGCGGTAGTTCTCAGGAGGAAAAAGATACTGCTATTTACCAATTTAAACCTTAGTCCTGATGCTTTCTGGGCACCTCTTTTTTTATCCAGGTCTTTTTGACACCAAACAGGCATTGGACTTGGGCAAGGCAAAGCCTGACATCCTTCTAGGCAGGAGCAGTAGGACACATATGATGAGAGTAATGCATGACCAGCTGCTACCTTAGGCAGCAAGGTTACTGCTCCCCTTTCTGTCCATCCACTGACAAGAGGAAAATCCTGTAACAGCTGTCTAATAAAATTCAGTGCAGAAAAACTAAGGCCTCAACAGCCATAAAAGGCAGCAAAAATATGCCAGAAGCCAAAAACAAAAGACAAAGAAGAAGAAAAGAAAGGACAACTCAAACCAGAAATACCCAACCCTGATGCCTTTCTAAAATTAATGGCAACAGGTTCCACATCTTTCATGCCTTGTATGAACAGAGAAGATATTACCTTGGTGAATATTTCACAAAAGGAACTTTCCAAGGTACACAAATATTTAAAAACTGCAAAGCATTTAGTGCCAACTGACTTGGCAAAAATTGTTTCACTCTACAAAAAACAGTATCTTTAATTTTAGATCTTAAAAAATTCAGACCAAGCATTGTGAACAACAAATGCTGTTCCTAAAAAATACAACCCCCCCCCAAAACACACACAACACCTTTTTCTAGATCATACCAGTACTTACAGCAATGTAATGCCTAAGGACGTAAGTGACTTCTCCTGCAGTAGCTTTTTCTACAAGCAGTTTGTGGAATCTAGAGAACTCTTTAGAGCCAATCTCAGCATACAGAATTACAACAGGGCTTTCAGGGTTTGAAACTGGATATTTGTGGTCCCCTTTGAACATAAAAGGCTTTGGTCTAAAACGAAACAAAAAATACAAATACTACCCTTCAGCAAGATGAAATATTGCACATGAAGCATGTTGAACAGATGAGAATGCTATACAAATGGACAGTATCCAGCACGGAAACTGTGCCTCCACTTATCCTGTTGTGGCTGCAGGACCAACCATCAGAGCAACATTAGCACTTCCTAAAGCAATCCCGGCTCATTTATGGAATAAGAGAAGTCAACAGAGCTCCCTTCTATAAGCTTTGCTGTCCTGCAAGCAGCACTGGATACTGCTCATATTCTACTAATTCTAACACTTGCATCAGTTAAAGGTGATTTACCATGAAAATTTAAAAGAAGTTCACACTGAGCTTCAACCCAGTGTGGCATTATAGGTTCAGAACAGGCCTCAGGAGATCTGTGTTCTAATCCCCACTCAGTCTTTAGGTTCACTGAGTCACACTGGACCAGTCACTGATTCTCAGCCTAGCCTACCTCACAGGTCTCTTATGAGGATAAAAATGGAGTGGAGGAAGATTATGTAAGCTGCCTTGGGTTCCATGCAGGAAAAAGGCAGGATAGACATCTGCCTTTCTAACCAATAAATAATATAATCTATTATTACTCTGTTTTCCTAAAATGGAAACTGAATATCCAATGGCATAATCTCTGCTCCCTTTTGGAATGGGAATTCACTCATTAGAACTTGTTTCCAGAAGGAAACAGAAGTTTTTTCATGTAGACACGAATAAAGCCTTAGACAAAATGAAATTGAGGCAATACAGCACATGCTGGATTATTTTTTGTAAACAGGTATAACTTATTACCTTTCCTTTCTAAAAGCATTCTGTAAAACACCAAAAACATTTTGTGAAGGACTTTAATACAGAGAAGCTGTTCTATTGCTGAAACATGTTATTCTTGTATTATATGGGGGAAAGCCCATAAACAACATGCAGAGACAGAGAATTTATAAACAAGGAACTTAAAAGAAAATAACCACGACCACCAAACAACTATCCCTATTATTTCTCTCTGAACAGTCCTCATCTTTTAGCTCTCATACTACAAAATTCCAGCATTGTTAAACAGATCTTTTCTATATCTGCTGTGTTCTCCAGAAGAGGAACAGGAAAAATAATAGACCAAACGCTTTAATTTTGAGTTGTAAGCCTGTCATCATGAATCTGCACCAATTTGCTTCAAGGACACTTTCTTGCTTTGCAAGTAGTTTCAAGATATCCACCTTAATCCAGAATACAGTATAAGGATTTGCTTACTTTCAGAATGAATTTTTGAAAACAAAATATATGTAGTTAAGGAACAGTTCATTAACATTGTAACAAAATGAGAAAGAAAGTGTAGTTGATGGTTTGGTATAACATAAAACAACCTTTCTGAAGCTGTCTGTAGAAGTATCCCAAGTTTCTCAGAGTCACAAGTCTTCTTTCCATGGACGACAAAGAATGCATTACATCCTTCTGGTGGGGGTTCATCAGCTGCTATCTGAATTAAAACATATCTGTTATCATATGATGGCATCTCTATTAGGGAGGAAAGTAAAGCTCATCATAATAATAGCCGGAAAGTCAAGGGAACTGTTTCTAATGGATTCATTTGTGCAGCAAAATTTGTCCTATATGAGCAAATGGCAAATAGTCATAGCCACTGCATCATATCAGAGTTGGCCACAACTTGGAGAATTACGGCATTTGCACTGAATCAAGGCTGAATCAACACATACCACAAAAAGAAAGGCCACTGTATTCTATAATCAACTGAGGTAACCACGGGTCTTGAAGCTACACAGAAGACAAAGGGACAATCTTAAAATACTTTCGCTATGTCTTCTTTTGTGTTCCTTTGTAATGGTGGGTCAGGAGCTGGCAGAGGAAGGTGGGTACGTTAGCCATACAGGGAAGGCAGAACAGCAAGCAGAAATGTTCACAGTTCGTTTTGCAATTTCAAAATGTGGGGAAAAGTATTGAAAAGTAATTTTAAAAAATAAAGGAAAAGTACCCATGCTGTAAATTTTGGCTACACTGGTATCAGGCCTAATACTTACCTGAGATGACAGGAAAGAGGTGGAAGAAGGCAGATGCTTCAAGCCCATCTGCTTTCTAACCAATCAGGAACTGGGGGGTAGTAGCCAAGACACATCACGCGAGACCTCATTGTGATATTGCCAACCTCAATATAAGCAGTAAACTTAGTCATTGCCCGTAAAGAAGTAGGGCCAAATACAAGGTGGTTAGCAAGTTCAAAGACAAAGGGCACCTGTCATTTCCTCTTGCATTACTACTGCCTGTATGAATTACAATCATCAAAGAAGTTCCCAAAGCTTCATACTAACCTGCTGAAAGGCTTGAACTGTAGCTGAGTAAGAACGCAAAGACAAGGCAAATTTCAACAAGTTCTTTTGCAAAGATGAAAGACTCTGGGAAGCTGCTTCCAACATTGCATAATAAGAGGAAGAATCAGTACCTGCCAGCACACAATGTAAACTATTTAGTTTTTATCAAAACAAAAAGTGGTTTTTAAAATCATCACTTAGAATTGTTATAGCTTATACTGCAACGGTTTGCAATAGAAATGCCCAATTCCAAACTGACCAAGGCATCATATACATTCCCAACTTGCAGCACCCTGTGAAACGTAGACATACATGAGTCAGGAGGTGAAGGGGCTCACTCATCTTCCCAAAGCAGCCACAAGAGAGTTGTCACAGATGGAGGGGCATGGGCGGGAATCTGCTTGTGAGGAACAAGGCGTGGGGCTCCTTTGGCAGGAATGCACGGGAGCACACACAGCTGCGTGTGACTGGCGGCCAGAGCAGGGGCAGCTGCGTCGGGAAGGAAGAATAAAGGCAGGAGGAAGATGAAGGGGGGGTGGATAGAGGAAGAGAGAGTGGGCAAGAGAGCAGGGAAGCGGATGGGGAGGGGGAAGGAATAAGGTGACATGCAAAAGCAGCCTTTGGGAGAATGCTGGCAGCAGCTGGCATTGCTGCAATGTGCAGACAGTCAGACAGGAGCAGCAAGGGCAGACCCTGTGCCCAAGACTCACAGCTGCCCACCTCCCCGAGGCTATGTCGCTCTTTGCCTTAGAACCAGGGGTTAGGAAGGGTCCAGGTGAGGAAAGGGCTTTGCGTTTCGGGCAGTTCGGCTGCAGCGGAAGCTGTAAACTACAAATGAAAGGACCTGCCAGGCGCCTTCAACACGACCCTCCCTCCTGATCCAGTTACAACATGTTTAGAATATCTTCCATTGTTGTTTATCATGCAACACAATATTTTGTTTCCTGATCTTAGGCTACTTTTCTCCAAACTTCCATACTCTGTCTGTCTGAACTTGACCATCCAGACTCACTGGAGACTGCATGTAGACAATGCAAATAAACCTATTTATTTTTATTTATTTATTTAGGAAGCTTCTATGCCGCCCCATTCGCCGAAGCCTCGGGGTGGCTCACAACAATAAATAACAACGATATAAAAACAATGTAATTGGAGATGTCCTGGCCAAAGATGTAAAATGAATAAATAATATTAACAATTAAAATGACGTTTAAATAAAAAGGTCTTGGCCTGGCGCCAAAAACAAATAACGACGGCGCCAGGCAGACATCTCTGGGGAGCGCATCCCATAGATTGGGCGCCACCGCAGAGAAAGCCCTCCTCCGGGTCCTTACCCTCCTAATATCCTTCACAGAGGGTTCCCGGAGAAGGGCCTCTCCTGCTGATCTTAAGGGGCGGGCGGGCACATATGGACGTAAGCGCTCCTTTAGGTAACCAGGACCCAAGCCTGGTTTAAGATTTAAGATCTGTTCAGAGTTCACATCCATTCTGGACATAATTTTTACAATAAGTCAATATTCATCTGTGATCTGTTTTAGCAGATAACTTCAACAATAAGCAGTTTAATAGCAATACAACAAAATCACAGATATTCTAATTAGTAATGACATTTTTCCATTAACTAAACTTTTGAGAAAAGTCTATTAATCACAAACCATAGTTGTTACTATTAAGTTCTAATTTGTGCAATGCCAAATACTTCCACATTTCAAGTAGCTCTGGTGCTAAGTTGTCTGCTTAAAAGCCACTGGTCCTAACTGTTCAAGGCTTCAGAAACCAAAGTTCATCGTACTGTGACCTGGCACCGACTCAGGTCACTGTGCCTTCCTTTCTTCCCATTGTTAGGTGTTTGTGCTGAGGACAGCATATTTCTATTAAGCCAAAGTTTCCCATCCCATCTAAGGGCACAATCCAATGTATATTTAGAGAGAAAAAGCCTATAATTCCCAGCATGCCCCAGGTAGTCACACTGGTTGTAGCATGCTGGGATTTGTAGGCTTTTTCCCCCCTATGTGTAGGATTATTCCTTCGGGCAGTAAATTCCTATCTGACCCAGGCCTTTATGTTTGTCATCGTTATACTATCTGTCACATATTCAAAATTTGGCTCCCCCTCCCACCCCGAAATCTGAAATAGAATTTAATTCTTACACTGAAAAACATTCTACATCCTTAAAGCAGGCTTATACAATCTAGGACTCAGGCTGTGGTCTGAATTCATCCAGCTATGTATTGTTCTTTTGTATTGTTACCTGCTTAGGAAGTTGTCCAGGCCCTGGCAAACATTTATTGAGTCTAGTGACTGTATATCAGTGATTTCAATTTGGCCTGCTCAGTAACCAAGTAGTACAGGTCTACCTTAAATGGCAAAGTTATCTCTGCATCTGACTGGTTACCATTTTTATCCATGATAGAAACACTTTCAAAGTATAAAAAGCGATGTTATTAATAATATAATTAATAACTAATAATATAATTAATATTAGATTAATAATTAATAATATAATTAATTATATTAGATTAATTATCTCTAATTAATTATATTAGAGAGCCAGTGTGATGTAGTGGTTAAGAGCATGGGACTGGGACTCAGACAACCTGGGTTCTAGTCCCTGCTCAGCCATGGAGCCAACTGGGTGACTTTGGGCCAGTCACAGACTCTCAGCCCAACCTACCTCACAGGGTTGTTGTTGTGGGGATAAGATGGAGGAGGAGAATGATGTAAGCTGCCTTGAGCCCTTTGTAGGAAAAAGGCAGGATATAAATCGAAAAATAAATAAAATATAAATAAATAAATTATGGTATATAATGTTACGCTGTAAGTAGAAATTTGAACTGAGAAAATCAGTTCTCAGTATTTCTCACTTATACTGAATATGGTTTATAAACAATTTTAAATTCAGCACAAATATTACATCCAATTAACAAAGCAATCAAGGAAGGTTATGATTACCATCACGGTGGGATGATCCAAAGTCTTGACAAGTTTCAACAAAATTCCAAAACTTCTCTTGACCATCCTCTGCTAAAAACTCACTGTGGAAAGAAGGGAAGAATTACATTTAATTAACCACATACATGCACACAAACAGCTGTTAAGGAAACTATCTGTGATTGAGAAAGTCCATGCATCTAGTTTCATTCAGCTATGAATACAGTTATTATTTCTCAATAACCAGAATTTAGGTCATATCACTCTTTGTTACAGGACTCTTCACTGAGTTACCAAAATGATATATGTAAAGCACTTTGAAAAGCAACAACTAGCCAACATTCTTACCTTGCTTCGAGTAATAAAGGGGTGGAAGGCCATTTAGTAGTCAAGGATGTTGTAACTGCTTTTGAATCTGCTTTCACAAGGGAGAAGCTCACCCAGATTCCAATAAGTGCAATTAGAGTTCCCATCTTAAAGAACACCTGAAGAATGACAACATTTATCTTGAAAATTATACTGCATATAAACTGCCTAACTATGATTAATCAACCCATGTAAAAGTTTCAGTTTTCTTGAGATGGAGTAGAACTGGGAGGCAGAGCTACCTGCATAATCCTCCCATTAATACATTTTTGCTAATAAACAGTGGCGTAAGAGAGAGGAAAGATTCCTTTCTGCTTAAGGTAATACAATAGGGAGCAAATGCCCCTCCAGAGGTTTATCCATGTTCAGAGGCTGTCTACTGCTTCTGATTCTTTTTGCTTGATCCTACATATGACAAAATGGCATATTTACTGATAATTGAATCATAAGAAGGAGGGATATTTTCCTGCAATCAGGATGGTACCATGAGCTCTCTTGACTAAAGTGGCTCTTTGACTAGTTGTCTACACAGTGAACAGTAATCTCTATGCAGATTCTCTATCTGCAGCTGCCTGTCAGGATTTGGGCTGCTCTGGTGGCCAGAACCAGAGCAACCACCACCACATTTGCAGGATCAGCCCCAGGCCTTGCTGGGATTCTCAGTCTACTGGCAAGTACCAGCTGAGATTCCTGGGCGGGGGTGGCGGGGAGAACTGTACCACAGAAAGCTCTTCCCTCCAGAACTGGCTTCAGCAACACAGGTCTTCCAGTTTGCTACTGTGCCTATATCCTGCCTGACCTTTCCTGCTCCTGGCGCCTGCTGTGTCTCCTGCCTTGCCATGTGGCTTCAGCAACACAGGTTCACCAGCTTGCGGCAATGCCTATACTTTCCCTGACTGCTCCTGCCTTTCTGTTACCTTGCTGTTGTGCTTGGCTCACCTATATCCTGCCATGCTGTGTTGCCTCAGTAACACAGGGCTTCCTGTGAGATCTTGCCCTTGCTGCATCTGGTTCCTGTTGCCTGTTGCCCTGTTATCCTGTCCAAGGTACCTGCACCTCTGTTTGTCCTCTTGGTTCTTGACCCTTAGCGTGTTCCTGAGCTGTGCTCCTCGTGCATTCTTCCGGTTTCTGATCTCAGCCTACAGTCTTCTGATCTACAGCCATCTCAGTCTGTTCCTTTCTTGTTTCTGGCAGCCCACATTCCTGCTACAGACCTTGGAAGTGCCTTTCAGAACCAGAAGTTAGCTGCCAGCAAACAGAGCCATGGCAGCTGAAGCAGGAAAGGCATGTCATGGTGGCTTGCAGATGTAATAATTCATAGCAGTAACTCAAGATGGAGGAGGTTCTTTTGCCAAATTGCCCCATGTGGTTCTCAAGTATGGAAGCTGTCTGGAGACCATAACTCAAGAGGCAGAGCACATACTTCGCATGCAAAATATCCCTGGTTCCACTCCAGGCCTCTCCAAACAGGGCCTGGAAAGAATCCACTTGAAATTCTGGAGAACTACTGCTAGTCAGTGCTGACAATACTGGCTTAGATGCAGCATTAGTTTTATTCATTATAAAGCATTTACCTATATTCCTAAACCAGATACAGTGACCGATGCTGCAGTGGTTGGCCTGCCCTCTCCCTGCCAGTCAATACTGCTGCTTGTTTCATGCCTGTTATAGGCTCCTTTGAAATGCAATAGAAGAGGGCCCTGACTGCTGGGTTCACAATTACAAGCTAAGAGGGTTAGGGCAGTCCCACAGGAAAACATTAAAGCCTGCACGTCTGTTTTCAGCCTTGCCTAAATAATTGTGAGGCAAAACCTTAGGCTTTTCAACTTACTGCACAAAAATAAGGCTCTCAGTTGGACATTTATTAATTCTGTCCCAAATTCTATGCCATGAAAATCTAGTTAGTAATTTAAGTGCCGCAGACTCTTGGCCTTAACTTTGCAACATGGCTTCTGTTCTGCAACCGGCACATGTATCATTGATCATTTGCCATACAAAGACACACAGTATCCTGGGGAGCTACAATTATGTCTAAAAAGCTCCCTTTATACTGATGGTAGACCCTGGTCTATACCCAGTAGGATGTATTTAGTTGAAGAGCATTACAAAGGATCTTGGGCAGTAAGGAGAGGGTATCACTCTCTCTGCCTGGGACACTGAAGAACCTGCTACTCAAATTAAGTACTAATGGCCTAGCTGAACACAGCTGCTCACTGCAAAGGGTAAGCTAGGCAATACCCACCCACCTCAGAAAGCAACTTCTCTTCTGAAAAGACTTTATTTCCTTTACTGGCAATTGTTTCTTCTTTGTGGGTTTTAACATAAATGTGTGTGGCCTGGGGGTCACTGGGAGTCCCGCAGGAGGTTTTGTTCATAAATGTTTTAAAAAGGCACCTGAGGACACAGCAGCCATTGGTGGTGAGCGTAATATTTTGCAGGCGTCCCCAACCCCTTCCCCATTTTTTTAACATGCCATTCCTGGAGCCCAAGAGAATGTTCCAGGAGTCCCATTTTTTCCATGTAATGTTAGGAATCTTAGTCTGTTGCTATTTTTCCCTTCTCTTCCCTCCTCACTGCCAGTTTTTGAAATCTGCCATCCTAGAACGCATGGGACTTCTCATAGTGCATGTCCCCATTCATCCCAGTAGGCTGAGATGAGAAGGAATGCAAGGCTTATTCCAGTTGCCCTGCTGAAGGCTTCTCCAGGGAAGGCTCAGTCCCTTTTCAACTATCCTTGCTATCCCAGTTGTTCGTACTGAGGGCAAGGAGAGTGGCACATAGAGCCATTCCACTGGCCCTATTCAAGGACATTCATTTTTCTCCTCTCCCTTTCTTATTCCCTCTAATTTGTGTGTCATGCATTGGATTTTAATCCTGTGGGCAGGGAGCCTCTTTAGGCGATGAGTAAGATAAAAAAATACTTTAAAGGTACAATCCTATGTATATTTAGACAGGAAAAAAAAGCCTACCCTTTCCGCTATGCCCCAGCCAACTACTGCGGGTTGGTGCATTCTGAGGGTTGTAGGACTTTTTCCTATCTAAACATGCATGGGATTGTGCCCTAAATATGTGGGAGCAGTCTTATTACTTGAGATAGCATCCCAGGAATAAAAGATTTTGGAATTGACTCTCCAGGACCAGAGATGTTACTTTGACCTCCAGAGAGGAAATCCAAACAGGGATAGTTTCTCCACATCCCTTGCAGTTGTCATGGAAAGCTCCACAACAGTCTCCTCTCCTGACTTCAGTGCTCCAATCTTGGGCGAGGCTGCAAATAACGGGGCAGGGAAGGAGAGGTGTTGAGGCTCTGTAACCACCTGATGCCTCCAAGATCCCATCCCAGTAATTCTGCTGGATGTGCTTTTGAGCAGAGAGATGAAGAGTGCCTCAGTTGTGCCTCCTTCTTAGCCAGGTATGTTCTGGTAGAGGATGTTCAGAGCACTCTGACATCACAGCAGTTCAATGAAAAGCCTATGGTCGTTCTTTTATTTTGAAATGAGTTTTCTATTTTTTAAAAAAAGTTTAAACCCAAGCTTCAGTATGCATGTTCTCTAGAAAGCGCTAGTGCCATAGCGGAAGAAGCTAGGTTCTAAAGAGTGGGATAATACCATATTGTGCTCATGCACTTACAGGAGACCCAGTGTTCATGCAATGGGGATTTATTGCTTCTAAAACATACCAGAAAGGAGCAGAAATAGGCACTGCCAGAAAGTCAGCAAAGCTTGTACAAGAGAACACTGTTGACCCGCCCAGATTTAGAAACATGCATTTCTGATTGTTTTTAGAATTATCCTTAGAAGGATAACACAACTGTCTAAGTGCTGGGTCCTGTAATCACAACAGAACTTGTGGAGAGCTCCCCACTGCATACTGCTTTCTCCTGGTGTTATATAGATTCTCCACCTTACCCCACTTTGCACATAAAATCTCGACCTTAGTTGGCCTTTTCTGTGCAACCTCTTTTGCTCTGTCTCCTGTGATCCCAGGCTCTGCCTCTTAGCTGCCCTGTACTTTGTGTCATCACCCCTGCTGAGCACCAGCTGCCACTGAGGAAGGACTAGGATCAGTAGGAGAGCAATGCTCAAGATAACTGTGCTCAGGATACCTGTACTTTCAACTTCTTCCTCCTGAAACAGGGGCCCACTGATTAACTTTAAAACAGAACATGCTCACAGGCTTACTGAGGAAGGGCAGCCAGAGTTATCTCTCTGTACTCCTTTCACCAGCCGAGCATGGAGCTCTTTTCTTGGTCTAAGCCAGTTTTCCCGACCTCATGCGCTTCAGATGTTCTGGACTACAGCACCCCTGTTCTTCGACCATGGGCCTTGTTTGCGGGAAGTGGTGGCAGCTGTAGCGCCAAACTTCTGGAGGGCAGCAGCTGGGGAAGGTGAGGTTTGTCAAAAGCATGGACAGGGTAAGGGCAGCCTACACTCCGGGCAGTCAACTCATGAGTTCCTCTTTCCACAGCTAGGTAATCCAATAGAGAGCAGAGTACCACCTGACAACCAATGGGAAAGGGCGCACACGCTAAGCCCGACTACCAATAGGAAACCCGGGAGTGGATAACTCCCGGCGACCAGGCCCCGCCTCTTATTCCTCTCCGAACACGACGTGAATCAGAGGAGTAGGACCAGGGACCCGGATGTTCAACCCGAATTAAAAAAAACACACGGTGATCGCCGTGAGCAGAGCGCTGCCTCGTCCTCATCGGGCCAGCTGATCTACTTAGAAGGCGCGCTCCTTCTCTGCGCAGAGCCGCTGTCAGGACAAGCCTTCCCCTCCTCCCCCTGAAGAGTTACCTGCAGCCGAGAGTGCAGCGGAGGCGCTCAGAAAAGCCTCCAGAGCGGCTTCTCGCGCTGACACTGAGGGGGGCTCAATCGGGAGTGTTGCTTCCGCTGCCGCAGCAAAGCACCCCTCCCCCTGGCGAATGATTGGGTCTCGGCTGGCCCTGCCCACTGCGGTGATGCTTTCGCCTCGCTGTGCACGGCCATTGGCTTAGGCGGCGCTTGCGTAGAGCTCTGTGGGAGTCGTAGTTCGCGATCCAAACGTCACCGAGGCTGATATCGCGAGATGTTGGGGGCGAGTAGTGGGACACGATTGGCCGTCTCCGAGGAGGTGGGGCGCTCGCTTTCCCTATCCGCCTACTAAGCTTCTAATTGGTCATCTTTCCTTGGAGGGCTTTTAGCAAATGGTTTTGGAATGGAGATTGAGGCTCTCTGTTTGTTGGGCGATGGCGGGAAAACGGCCGCGTGCCCACATAAATTAATGGACTTGCTCCTTTCCCCTTCAAGTCCCCGTTAAAAAGTCAAGAAGTAGGACTGTAGCCTACAGTACCCCCGATGTTCTTATTCCTGGTTATTCTAGTTCTGGGAAATAAAAAATACGTGAAGTGTGTAACCTTACATATATAGTATCGCCATTAACAGTATCACCAGCACACTTAGGATGCCTTTATGACAGCAACCTTTAGAGTTTTCAGTGCAACCTACTACAGCCTTCAGTACCTTGTAGAATTCTTTTCCTTTCAGACCTACCCTGGAGCCAAACTAAGAAGATCCAGCCTCGAATCCGTTGTTTGGATGAGTGAACTTGGGCCACTCAAACTCAAAATTACTTAATGGAGCTGCTGCGAGGATAAAAAGCGGCACCCCTACCAAGCTGTGAAATGGGGTGAGGCGTTTTCCTTTGTGAAAAAAAGGTTAATAAGGCCATACTTTGCCTCACAAAACACTTCCTTCATTAGCACTACTAAAATTACCTATGCTTTTCTTCAACTTTGAAGGCCTACGTTCATCCACTGAATTTCAAAACCTATTGTCCAAAATCCTTTTCCATGCTAGATAAGTACCCTTTTCCAATCCAGCAAGCTAAAGACCCTTGTCACTCCGTTCAATTTTCCTCCACCAAGGAAAAGCCAGCGTTACCACTGTAGCCCTATAATAAAGAACGGCGATATTGCAATACCGAGTTCTAAACTAATTGGGGTTTGAGGGAAAGAGGCCGTTAAGTTGTGCATGTCTGCGTGCGCACGCGATCACCTTCCAGGATACTTTCCCGCCATTGCCCCGACAACCAAGCACCTTAGTTTCCATTCCGAAACTATTTGCTAACGTCCACCAATCCGTAGCCTGGTAGGCGGAGGAAGGAAAAAAAAGGATACCACCCCCTCGGAAACAGCCAATCGTGTCCCACTACTCGCCCCCAACATCTCGCGATATCAGCCTCCGGTGCTGTTCGAATCTCGAACTACGACTCCCAGGGATCTCTTCGCAAGCGCCTCCTAAGCCAATGGCCGTGCACAGCGAGGCGAAAGCATCACCACAGTGGGCAGGGCCAGCCGAGACCCAATCATTCTGCCAGGGGGAGGGGTGCTTTGCTGCGGCAGCGGAAGCAACACTCCCGATTGAGCCCCCCTCAGTGTCAGCGCGAGAAGCCGCTCTGGAGGCTTTTCTGAGCGCCTCCGCTGCACCCTCCGTTGCAGGTAACTCGGCGGGGGGGGAGGAGGGGAAGGCTTGTCCTGACAGCGGCACTGCGCCGAGAAGGAGCGCGCCTTCCAAGCAAGCGCTCGCGGATGCTGTCCCGCTCGGACCGAGCCCGCGCTCTTCACTCGCAATGCCTGAAAGGGGAGTTGGCGGCAGGGAGCGCCGCAGCTTTTTTATTCTCGCTGAACATCCGGGTCCCTGGCGCCGCGCGTCTGTTTCACATAGTGATCGGGGAGGTAAGGGAGGCGGGCCCTAGTTACCACTGATCGCCCGTTTCCCCATTGGTAGCCAAGTTGTGCGGTGCTCTTCATGCGATTGGCTGGCCTCAGAAAACTGGGCTTTTCCGATTGGCTGCTTAGAAAGGAGGCTGGCTCGAGCTAGCTTATGCCGAGGAAGGGTTCCTCCCGCAGCAGGCGAAAGGGGAGGTCGCGGGAGACGCCCCTGCCCGATCTCTGTCATCTCCGCTCTCGCTGCTTTGCGTTTTTGCGCTGCCGCTCGTGCCTCCCCCCGCCCCGCTCGAGTTTCCGCAGCCGATCGCAGCTGAATCGGGGGGCAAAAGTGGCAACCTCCGCTTATGCCGGGGCTGGGTCGGCTCAGCCATCGCAAGCACCGCTGCCCTTCCGCTGACGCTCGCAACGCCAGGGCAGTTGCGGGGAAGGGACTTCGGCTTGAGCGGCATAACAAAGGGAGAGGTATATGCGATGCAATGTTACTGGTCTTGTAGACGCGGGTTTATTGCTCCCGGGGTTGTCCTGTGTGTGTGCGGGTGATCCGAGGATTGAGAACTCATGCCCGTGCTGCTTGTATTCTGCTGCCAAGTGGGTAGCAGAAATTGGTATACAAATCGGAAACAGAATCCTAGTTGAATTAAGCTTGTACTGCAGTGTCATAAAGGGGGTTTGATGTTATCGGTCATAGAGGCAGTGGATGTAATGGGATAAATTGAATGATGGCTCTGACACCTATGTGTCGTAATTGGTTGTTTGCTGTGTACTACTAGCATTCAATTTGCTACTGATGCCCGAAGGAATGTCAGCTCCATGCTATGCAGCTACAGCACCTTTTGACTGAAGCTAGACTCCAGCTCCTAGCATCCCGTCGTGTAGTCTTGCCCAGTGCACAACTGTTCAGTAGGACTTTTTCTCAGGCACACAACCAGAAGATGCAATGCAGTGGAAGCCATCAGTGCTGCTGCTGAGTACTCAGCTTCTGCACAGGTGGCTTATTCAAGCTGAGGAAAAGGGAGGTGGCAAGCTAAGATCAGGCAGAAATGCTGGTTTACCACCCCTCCTGTGTATGCAAACTAAATGGCTAAACATGTCTGTATCCACAGGAAAAAATGTTCTGCTTTAAGAGCATTGAAAGCACAACAACACGAGCACCCTTGAGGTGATCCCAGTGAGTTTTGGCAATGAGAGATACAAATATATTGTCTATGACTATGAAGAGCAGAGCCATGACCTCCTTGGATAATAAATGTGCTGCTTTGGTGATGACTGACTATGCTACAGCAGCTTCTATAGCGTCTGTTGTAGTACAGTTGTCTGGAGGATTAAAGTATGGGTAGTTTGTGCATCATTCGGGTATCTTCTGATCATTTGTTTTCAGTTTATTCCCCCACATTAATATCTGTATAAGAGATCAGTCCAAATTAATTTCAGATAAAATCAGGTCAAATATATCCATTCATGGACTTGTTTCCTTGATTCTTGGAGCAAGAAAATTGCATTCCTGACAGGAAAAGGATTTGGGTAAAATTCTGATTGGTCTTACTTTCTGATGGTTTAATTTGAGTAAAAACAGTTAAGCCTGCCAATATATGTTTCCTAGAGAGGGCTAATTCATCTTTTCTAGGAACAGAGTTCTGTAGGCTTAGCCGTTCACAGTCAAATTAAAACACCAGACAGAGAGACCAAGCAGAATTTTACTCAAACCTTCTTGCATCCTGTCTAGAAAACATTCTTCTATTCTGTCTTCTTACATTGGAAGCAGTTCTCAAACAAATGAGGTTGCCAAGAACAGTTGGATAGAGCCAGAGGAGGACAGAGTGCTAGAACAACTAAACAGGATTACAGCCATATATAAAATATCAGATCACTTTACTTGTAATCTCTGATCTCCATTTGTTCATTATGTGCTCTGTTTTTTTAATCTTTAGCATGATCCAAAGAATTCGGTAAAGTGCTAAGTTATCAGTTAGCATCTGCTGTTTACTACTACTCTTAATGGTTTCCTATGTTAAATGCAGACTGATTTAATGTCAAATGCAGCCATGCAATTGCTCCAGTTACAGTAGAGAGAGATAACTCCAGTCCTTTGCACACTGGAAGTAGTCCTCACTGAACACAATGGCTTTATTTCAGAGAAGACTTGATAGGACTACGTTTTAAATGCTGAATTTGTATCAGGCGCATATGGCAGTCCTGTATCATTTGCACAGGTCTTCTGAACCCATGACATTACTTTGGTTTTTAGATGTAGTTGCAGTTATGCATTTGCAATGCAATCCTGTGCCTTTCTACTCAGAAATAAGCCACACTGAAGTAAGGGGAACTTGTTTATTATAGAATTGGTTTCTTAGTTCTCTTACAGTGTTGTTGAACTATTCACATTTCGGGATCAAGGGAGTAGTTTGTAAATAAGTTGTCAAGGACTGTACTGGTCCATTCTGTGAACCAAGTGAATTGAATGAGTTTCTTAGTTACAAGGGAGTTCAAGAATGTAGCTGTATGACTTATTTATAATTCTGTGTGTGTTCCACAGGTGGAAATGAGTTCTCAGCAGTTTCCCCGTTCTGGAGCCCCTCCCACAAGTCTAGGACCAGCTCCTCCTCCAATCTCCACCAGTGGATCTACTGGACTGATAAACCCAACAACTACAGGTAAGGAAGCTGCTTTGTGTGTTATGGTTCTACCAAGTTTGCAGTCCTAAGAATAGTTATGCAAAAGTTAGTCCCATTGCAATTGAAGTTTACATTTGCATGTCTTATCTATTCCTTATTCCCCCAGCCCCATGCACCAAACAGAGGGGAAAAATAATACCCTTTCCTCTCTTTAGCAGTGAGTGATGAACCAAGCCGAGAATTGGAAGCTACTTCCAGAGATCATGTGGCCCCAGGTGGCTCTTTACAGTCTCGTGAGGAGAAGCAAGAAACAGTGGTAGTCCGGCCATATCCACAGGTGCAGATGCTGACACAGCACCATACAGTGCCGTCTGGTGTTCCAGTCACAGTGGCAGCTCCTCCAGCACATCTGGCTCCAGCAGTGCCACTTTCCTTTTCTGAAGGACTCATGAAGGTAACAAAGGCTCATATTCCATCCTGGAAAATAAATGAAGTTAACAACACTGGTTGAATATGGTCAGGAATAGTAAAGTTCTCTTAAATTAGATTCTTGTGTCAATACAACTTTCTCTCCGTGCTAATATTTAAT